AATGTGAATAACACGGAGGGCGAGAAACAGGCCACAGTTAACTTTTTAGATGGACTCCAAACCACCTTATTATGCAAGGGTGAAACTACGAGCAAAAGAAAGGAAGAGAGGACTCTAATACCTTTTTAGTCCTTATAAGGTTTGCATATCTTCAAATTTCAAGTAAGAAATATGCAAAGCATTGTAAAAAAAAATCTGTCCTTTTCTGGTACGTGCCCTCAAGTGTCTGATTCTTATCTCAGGTGTTTATATGCTTCTCCCAGTAAAGCTGCACCTTGGATACAGAAATCTCTGTAATCAGTGTACATTTTCTTGGTCTCTGCAATCAGTGTGCATTCAATTCATGAGTTATTAAACTAGGGTTTTGAAAAACCTGATGGGACTCTGATGTTTCTCATGATGTCAGGATCGCTGTCTCACTCTTTCCTCTCTCTCTCTTTGATATTTGCACATTGCTTCTGGTTAATATAGCTGTATATGAACTCCAGGGACTGCTCAGAAGACAGTGACCTTTCTGAACTCAAATTAATTCACCAATGCTTTTCTAATTTTTAAGTACTACACATCTAGTGGAGATTTGGAATACAATAAGAAAAAAGAAAACAAATTAGGTAGCAGTTTACTTTTTGATTATATAAGCTATTTCTTTCATTAAACTGTTTTTCTGCCTTACAAATCTTGCTACAGTGTGAGATACTGGAGGATGTGACCATGTCACTAAATTCATAGTGAAGACTATTGGATGTACTTGGAGGTTTTTTTTGGGTTTTTTTGGTACCGGGGATCGAACTTGGGTCCTTGCGCTTGCGAGGCAGTCGCCAGAACCACTGAGCAAAATCCCCAGCCCCTTTTGCCTTGTTATTTGTGTGTGTGTGTGTGTGTGTGTGTGTGTGTGTGTGTGTGTGTGTGTACTTGGGTTTTGAATGAATAAAATAATGAACCAAAAATGAATATTTTTATTCAGTATTTTTATTCAGTATTTAGTATTAACAAGAACTCATCTTGAAAAAAGGAACAAAATTAGGTATGAATGTTGAGAAACTCATTTAATAGGTATCAGGAAGATCAGCATAGAATGAGCAATAAGTAATTCAAGCCCTTGGATCCACTAAGGAAATACATTTTCTGTTAGAATCTTATTTCCTTATGGTCCAAATTATTTTGCTTAGTCTTTGAGTTTTTTCTTCTTTTGGAGGAAAGGTTTACTTAAGCTCACAGTTTGTAGAGGTTTCAGTCCATAGTTGGCTGCCTCCAAGTGGCATAGCAGAGGGGCATCACAGAGGAGAAACAGTTCCTGGCAGCAGAAGGCAGCAAAGGATAAGCAGTGACAAAACAGCCCTCTTTCTGTCCCTTATATTCTGTCTAAGCTACTAGCCCTTAATCCTAACATTGCACCATGAATCAATCCTAGAATCACGTCCTTAATCCCAGCATCACACACTCTAGATCCAGCCACTGCTGAAAAGCTCCACCTATGACCCCAGGAGGGTTTGGTGGGGGGGCATCTAGATTCAAGGCATAATAGTATCTCATGTTGAAATGAGTATTTTGGACATACTGAGTTAAAAATATCCTTTTAACATAATTTTCACCTATTTTTGTTTAATGTGGCTACTAAAAAAACCCTTAAAATTACATATGTGGCTTATACTGTTTTTTTTTAATCAATCATCCTTATATTTATTTTATTTTTTTTTGTATTAAATTCTTTTATTGGTACATTGTAGGTATACAACACAATTACATTTCTCATTGGGGCTTATACTGTTTTTAATGTTCACTTTTTGTGTGTGTGTGTGTGTGTGTGTGTGTGCCGGGGATCGAACTCGGGACCTTGCGCTTGCAAGGCAGGCGCCGGAACCACTGAGCTAAACCCCCGGGCCAGCTAAACCCCTGGGCCTATACTGTTTTTATTTGATAATACTGGTTTAGATAATTCCCACTTATTTTGGAACTCCTAAGGGAAATTTCAAGGAATTAAAAATGTTATCAGCCTACATTCAATCCTTCTTATTGTCTTTGTTCCAGAGATCTCGGAAAGAAATACACGGAGACACAGAATTTGGGTAAAATAATAAAATTTCTACTCATGAGAGGGCGGGACTGCCAGAAACCGGTCTGGTTAGTATCCTGTCCCCTTTGTTCAGCGTTTCTCTTTTTATATCCTTTTTAGTCATTATCTCATCCCTAGTAGTCTTTGATGTGTAAATACAATTCCAGTTCCTATTTACAAGTCACAGACACAAGATAGGCACATACACATTGTAAATTCACCCTGGCATTGCAACTTTGTTAGGTTAATGAAGTTACTGGTTAAAGAGTCAGATTATCTTCACTTTAAACAAGGAACGTTATGGGAAAAGCAAATCTTTTTTTTTTTTTTGGTACCGGGGATTGAACTCAGGACCTTGTGCTTGCGAGGCAGGCACTGGAACCACTGAGCTAAATCCCCGGCCCTGGAAAAGCAATCTTAAAAGAACACATTACTTATTTTGCTTCTACAACTACCTTAATATTAAATCTATTTTTATCTAAAACTTTTCCCTATCATCTTGACTTAAACAAAGATCTTAATTTCCATTCAGAGAAAGCACTTTATATTACAAAGTTTCATGGCCATCTAGTAATCCTGTAGAATTAGAGCCTCTCATGATAAACTAATTATAGCAAGGCATGATTGATGATTTGATAATCAGATTTTTTCAGGCAGTTCCATAAATTTCAACCTGAAATTTTCATTTCAGGTAGGGTAAAGATGGTGTATGTGTTAATCAGGAATAGAGTTGATCCAGAGATTTCATACTGGTGTGGGACATAAGTCTTAGGACAGTGTCTGGGTTTCTCAACTGTAATCTTATAACAATAGTTGTGGATGGCATAATAGATGGAAACACATAGAAACAAATAAATGTCCTCACATCTCTACTGCAAAGACTGTCGCATCAGTACGGTAGGTTATGGGCCAGAAGTCTCCCTGGAGAAATATGTTTGAGATTTATAAAGGAAGAGCCAACTGATTTGACAGTAAGCCTATGAATTATGTTTACCATCAACAATAATAAAAGTCATCTTTTTTTTTTGGTACCGGGGATCAAACTCTGGACCTTGCGCTTGCAAGGCAGGTGGCAGAACCACTGAGCTAAATCCCCAGCCCAATAAAAGTCATCTTTTCCTCAACCATGTAATTAAAAATTAAGCCTTTAGTTATTAAAACAAAGTCTTTGAATAAACTATTAGAGAAAATTTTATTTGCAAGCTAAGTTATTTAGCTATTTAGACTGCAAAAACTGGAAAGTACCAGCATGTCAAAAGCACCACTAGTGAATGCCTTCCATGGACAGAGGAGTCGCGTAAATACTAACGAAAGTATAAAGAGAGCAAACAATACCTATGCTACATATTTTATTGTAAACTTGGAGGAGGGATTTCTTTATATGCAATTTGCTCGCACATTGAGGCGTGAAAACGAGTAGTCAGTCAAATTTGTCAACTCCTAATCAGAAATAAGAAGGCTTCTTTGGCCCTGCTATGGTTTATATCTAGACGTCTAGCCTACAGGTGAGGCTTTTTAAAGACGATTGAATCATAGAGGTGCTGTATTACATGTAATGTTAGGAGGGTGGGTCTACCCAGAAGTGGGTAGGTGGAGGCATGACCCGCAAGGGTGTATATCCCTCTCCACTGGCCCTCACCCCCCTTTGCTGTTTGTTTCCTGGCTGCCATGTGAGCAGCTTTCCTCTGCCAATCCTTTCCACCATGCCTTTCTGCCTTGGAGCTGGCCAACTACAGACTAAAAATGTGAGCCAAAATAAACTTCTCCTCCTTTAAGTTGTACATGTCAAGTATTGTGTCCCAGTGATGAGAAAGTGACTAAGTCAGGCCCCATACTTAAATTATATAAAATCATGAATGTAACCTATTCCCAATTAAGAATAGAGCCACAGGTTCTGCGACTTTTAGATAACCAAGCTGCCATGTTCAGCAGTCTACTGGGATAGATAGGGTCCTATTTTACCATTACTTTGAGCTGTACCTATCATTTGGTATGACTTACTTGGACCAGATTAAACAGTAACCTTTTATGTTCTGCAAAAACTTTTGTAAGATATTGGACTTCAGAAACTGAGGCACATTCTAACCATATATCACAAAATAATATTGTCACAATGATTTAGTTCATTTACTATTAATTTTCTAAGATGATCCGATATTGTCTTAACCAAGCAACTGCCACATATATTTGACCAAATAACACTATTATTTAGTCTAAGGTAATTGAGTCATATGGATTGGCTCGAGACAAGCTTAGGTAGAGATTCAAAAAATATACAGAACAAAATAAAGGATAAATAATACGAAGTAGGAAAATCTTTTTCAAATGGGAAGGGGAACATGAGATGAAGGTGGTGGGAGGCAACAAAGGGAAGAGGAATTAAAAAAAGAGAATCAAAGAAAAGATGGAAATATAGTACCACTGTAGAGCTTTTTCAAATGGAAATGGGAACAAGATTTAGAGGGAACAGAGAGGAATGGGAGGGGAAGGGGATAAAAAGAATTAAGATGTGTTATGTACATAATAAAGTTAACCACTATCTACTGCAAATATATACTAATAAAACATTTTGAATATACTAACAAGCTGGGGTGGTGGTGCACATGTTCAATCCCACCACTCTGGGAGGCTGACAAAGGATCTCAAGTGCAAGCTCAGGTGGGACTTAGGAAGACCTTGTCTCAAAATAAAAAATTAAAAAATGCTGGGGATATAGCTCAGTACAAAGGCCTTGGGTTGAATCCCCAAAGTGGGGGGTGGGATGCAAAGAGCAATTGATATAGTTTCCTTGCCCTTGAATGTGAGTTTTATTCTCGAGCTGAGAAGTTAAGAGAAGACCTTTTGGGAATAGTCACAGAAGGGTTAAATAGTCTATGGAAAACTGCACTGGAGACACTAAGAAAGTAGATATTAAATGCACGCTGTTTGAACAATTATTCTAACAAAATTATACACAGGTTAAGACTTTTTTATTGTCAAAACTTGTACTTTATTTTTCTTGAATATTTATTTTTATGCTTTTTGTCACTATACACACTAGGGTTTTTAAAGAAAGCTGAGCCACTTGGTGGTTCTAATCCCCACATAATAATCATCCCTTCAGTCTTAAGAGTTCCTTATTCCTTGTCACTTTGCCTTTGTAATGGCTTATATAAAATGAAGACCTTGGAAAATCAACATTTCCTGTGAACGCAACAGATTATCTGAGCAGTGCCCAATCCAGCAGGATTAGGCAGGAAGAACTAGTTGGAGACAAGTTATGTTATGATCTCCTAGACCAAGGTATAGCTGTGTACATGTCTAAAAGATCATACTGATTCACTATAGGAGTAAGGATCATGTAGGTTGACCGGTGCGAGGTAGGACTATTCACAGGATCATGTGATTGTGGTAAGGGAGGCAGTATATAACATTCATAGATTAAACAACCACTTTCCTGAAAATGGTCTACATTTTAAAAAACAAAGATCTAAGTTTTTTTTAACTTTTTTTTTTTTTGGTACTGGGGATTGAACTCGGGTCCTTGTGCTTGCGCAGCAGGAAGCGAAACCACTGAGCTAAATCCCTGGCCCTTTTTAAACGTTTTTTAACTTATAAAGATTCAAGTCACTAATATGTTAGTTTTTCTGGTTTGGAAGGAAAGCAATTGGCTATGATAATGTAGAGAAGACAGTTGAACTGCACCAGCGTATTTAAGACTTTTAAATTAAAATGAGTTACCTCACCTTACAAAAATACATGTCAATATACTAAATACTCAACAAAAATCCAGTATTTGGGATATTTAAAAATACATTTCTCTTGGATAAGCACCAAAAATATCTTTAGTTTCTGTATTACCCGTGTCGAGTTATTAAGTGTAGGTAAGTTAAAATTACTTCTGATAAAAATCACAAACTCCACAAAAATCATTAAAGATACATCCAAACAACTCTCAAATACATTTTGACATCAAGGTTAGGCAAGTCGCTTGAAAAACATAATGAGTACCACTGAGTTTCTGTAGTAAGACATTTGATGTCAATTTTGTATTATGGCAATATTTTATATCTCACACAAAGGAGGCACTGGTACTTAGAAATGCAAGAAAATTATTAGAACCATTAAGACTGAGGTGAAGAATTTGTACAGCCTTCCACGATTTCAAAGAGATAGTGATAGATACTTGTCCTTCTGGCAATATCAAATGCAGTTTCTTCCAAGCTGTTCTTCAGACTTGGTTTGATGTAACGGTTCATCAGGAGGAGTTCCAGGGTATCTTTGCTGTCTCTGTTGCCAGCAGCAAGATGCAAAGGGGTTAGGAGGCCTTTTGTTTGAGCATTGATATCTGCATCATGCTGAAGTAGGAAAGAAGCCACTCTGGTATTACTCCACTTACAAGCACTGTGCAAAGGTGTCCAGCCATCCACAGTGACTGCATGAACATCTGCCCCCTGTGCAACCAGCTCCTGGACAATATCTAAGTGTCCACTGTAGGCTGCTCGATGAAGGGGAGTATACTCATCTTCATCCCTGGTGTTTACATGAGTGGCCTTTTCAGAAAGTAATCTCCGCACTGTAGCAAGCTGAGAAGGAAAAAAGAGGTCTTATAAAATCGCATCTCAAAGCAAAATAATAAAGAAACTTAAGCTGTCCAGTAGGTGTTTTTTTTTTGGTACCGGGGATCGAACTCATGACCTTACACTTTCGAGGCAGGCAGCGGGACCACTGAGCTAAATCCCCGGCCCTATATTAACTATTCTTGAGGAGTAAATAAAACAACACAGTAAGGCTCCTAGTATAGTATTTAATAAATGTTAATTTTCATCCTATATATCTTAAGTTATACTTACCTGAAAGATGATCCTAATAATTTAACATAAATGATTAAAAAATATAAATGATTGCTTGCTATCTTTATAGTTACTCTTAAATCCCCAAAGAATACTTGAGTTTGTAACCTAGTATGTACTTTTATGTAATTGCTTCATTTGATTCTCACAATCCTATATAAAAGAGAAGATATAGCCATTTAAACAGATAAGAAACTTGAGGTTCAAAAACTGTGGAATTTGCCCAAAGATACAGATAGAACAGATCTGGTTCAGGAGCAGGTCTTCTGGCTCCAAACCCATTGCTTTTCCTATTACATTATAGTTTCGTCTTTTTTTTCTCTTTACCCGATTTTTTTCAGCAGCCCAAAGAAGCAATTTGTTTGGATCTTTTTCCATTTTTTTTTCTTGCAATTGATACCACTCTTCATGTTTTTCATATTGCTCCTCCTCATCTTCATCAGAATTGCCTACCCACAGGCTTTGAGTGCCAGTAGGAATAAGGTGTCCATGTGTTTCCAACAATTCAAGTTGGTTAAAGTGTTCAGAAAAGTCCGAGGAAATCTCTGGGTCTAGTTTTCCATCATCATTTACTTTCTCTCTTTCCATTTTTACAACTATTCTACATAAAAAACATTTCAGATACTAAGAATGTAATCTTTGTTGAGATGAATTATGTCAGCTTTATTTTATTCATCAAGATCTGAAAACACAAACACAGAATTAGCAAAACAGTGAGACTTTATCAATAGCACCAAGAACAGTTTCATAAGCATGCAGAAACAGGCCATATCTAAACTCTTGGGTTTTTTTCATGATATTCATTAAATCTACTAAATGACAGAGTTCAGTTATCTGTGATCTTTAATGGTCTTATTTCTTGTTGTTTTCCTCTACTAAGTCAATAATTACAACAATTATTTTGAATATAATAGTTGAATATATTCATTTAGGTATTACGTTAAGAATGATGAATGGTTGAAGTTTTTAAAGTATAACAGACAATGAATACACATACATTAAAGATTTTTACAAAAATAGATAATATAGATCAGAAACAAACATGTCTAACTCCTAAAAAACAACTTTAAAGGATTCTTAAAGATGAAATAGCCCCTAAAACAGAGGGGGCAAACCTATGGCATGCGTGTTACTATATTTTTCTTTCAAGACAAAAGGTGTTAATGTATAAGTTGTTTTTTCTAAACTAAAAGCTCAGTATTAAGGTATAAATGCAGTGCTGGCACTTTGTAAAACATAAGTGGGTTTCGGGTTGCAGGTTGGGTACTCATTCTCTAAAAGGTTCACTATCACTGCCCTAAAAGGATATCTGTCCAATCTCTTATTAATGCAATATCTTTATTACAACACCTGAAATTATTACCCTACTTCTACTTCAATAATTTCAAGCCTGAGAAAAGCTGCTGCTGTAAAAAGCAGTCTTATTCATTGGCAGGCAGATAGTTCTTAGTTTGCTCTTTGTTTTAAACTGAACCTTGGCTGTCATTCACTCCACTCAACAAATATGAATAGAATGGCTGAGTACTGGGACTTAATAATGAACAGATCCAGTCTGAACCTCAAGAAGCTTACTGTCTAGTGGAGGTGAAGACACCGTGCTAAGTACAACAACTGGATCATATCCAGATACTATGAGTATATAGGGGGCTATGAGTCAGCCATCTCAAAGGATTAAAGGCGGCTTTCTGAAGGAAGTGATGTTTATTCTACTGGACTGCCATATTAATTTTTTTTTTGAGACAAGGTCTTGCTGTGTACTTCACACTTGCCTTGTGCTAATTTGTAAACTAATATCAGCTTAAGACTTACACAGCGTATACATCTTAATTCTCTCTCTTTTTTTTTTTTGGTACCAGGGATCGAACTCGGGTCCTTGCGCTTGTGAGGCAGGTGCCGGAACCACTGAACTAAATCTCCGGCCCCTACATCTTAATTCTCAATTAAAAATGAGTATTATAATAATTTTCTAAAAATACTTCTCAGCCTTCAAGTTGTATTTGTTGAAATCTTACTAGACTTTTAAAATTATTTTCAGATGCTCTTTCATTCTTTCTCGAGCTTTGATCTTTTTTTTAATCTTGATTCTTTCATTCATTAGATGTATTTTTTCTTGGTTTTTTTTTTTGTTTGGTACCGGGGACTGAACTTGGGACCTTGCACTTGCAAGGCAGGCGGTGGAACCACTGAGCTAACTCCCCAGCCCTTTTTTCCTGTTTTTGATGCTACAATTTGTGTTGTTTCATCAACTTTCAGTTTTAGCATCTTAAAAGATTATAAACTTAAGGATAGGAACCAGTTTAACCTATATATAGGTCCCACTTGGATATACTAGGCATTAAAAAATATTCATAGTGTTAAATTTTTTTATTTTATTTTTGTAGTGTTAAATTTAATTAAAGTCTTCTCATTTGCTTTTGCCTGGAATGAATTCTGAGACGATCCAGAATTAGTTATATCCCTAAGATACTGATTTTGTTTTATTTAATTTCACATGTTTAATAGTACACAATCTTAATGTATTATTAAATTTTATTACTAGTGGCAAGAGCACCAGATGCAAGTTTGAATCTACTATTCATGTTCAGTAACTTCTCTGGACCTATAACTTCACTGCAAACTATAAAACTTACATTAAAGAATTTCTAAGACCTATCCAGCTTTTCAGTCTTTTGAGAAACCCCATAAGAACTGCTTTGTTTTATTAATTCTCTTGGATTTTCCACTTTTTGCTTTATTCTCAAACTATCTCCTGCACCTTGCAAAACAAAAGTGCTCATACATTAATTCATTAAAAATTTAGATGCCAATAAATAATCTAAGGTTCACTTGTAATTATATAAAATATAGTGACATTATGGCACAGATTTTATCCCCCCAACATGACTTTCATTTTTATAAAAACTCCCTTTATATAAATTCTGAATTTACAGTTTGATATATAATAAATTACATATAAAATTTTCTTGGTATACTTAGTTTAAAAAGTCAAACCCAGATGTACCTCCCTGATTCTGCGTGTAAAATAAAACAAGATTCTTATTTAATGGAAACCCATCAGGAAGTAATGTGTTTTCTAACTTAAAGCGTATCTTCCATTTTGCCATTGCCTCAAAGATAATTCCGTGATAGATGGGGCTATAAGCCCCATTTTACAGGTGAATGCATTGAGGTCTGCATAGGTTAAAACAATTTGCCACAGACCAAGAACCATTCAATGGAACTGAGCGACTAATCTAATTAAAATATTCCACATTTACTTTTATTGCACTAATCAGGGGATCCAAGGGCGACAATAAAGGGAAGCACAAAATAAAGGGTCTGGGGAGTGGGAATGAGAGAGCCGCCAGTCCAACTCTGGCTAAGGCTGGTCACTCACAGGCCAGGGAATCGCGTCTGCGGCCTTCCAAACAGCCAAGGGCGAGGAAGCCGCCTCAGTCCTACCTAGGATCATCTACGCTGCTAGACCTCCACAGCTAGGCCGGGGTCGAAAGGCGATCACCTCTACACGACCAATTCAAAGCCTGGTCCGAGACAGAGACAAGTTACCTACCCACTGTACAGAGAAGAAAATCACCGTCACGAACCTCGCTTCCGGGTCTGTCCCCAGTCGGCTAAGGATTGGTTCCTTAACGGGGGCGGGGCCTCATCGCCCGGCCTCCTCACCGTTTTTTCGGCGGCCAATGAGAGTCGAGAAGGGCCCTAGACCGCTTACCTCCTCATGAGGTATCGCGAGAGACACAAGCTGTTTTCCCGCGTCCAATTCAGGTTTACGGCCCAGCGGGCTCTCCCAGGACGCTGCTGAGACTTCTTGCGACTCTCGCCCCCTCTTGCGGGATAGAAGACAGCCTCAGGCACGGTGGTGAGGCTTTGAAGAATCCGGTTATGGGATAATTTAGGAATCATATCCTCCTCCTAGTTTTACAGGTTCTGGGGCCGTAGCCCACAGTGAGTAGGACCCTCTGGGAGGATCTTGGAGGGCTGGCGTGCTGGCTTCCGAGTCCCGTGGCTGGGGCTTGCTGAGTCTTGGAGTCCCAGCGGAACCTGCAGTTTGGAAGGGCTTTCGTGGTTGCTGCTGGTGGTTCCAAAATCTGGCCGCTTTAGTAGTTGTGCTGCCACTCAAAGGTGTTTCTCCGCAGACCACGTGTTTGGTTGTTTATTTATTCTAGCTTTATATATAGGGTCCTTCTCTTCCGAAAACAAGCCCATGCCTTTCAAAATCTTATGTTTGAGAGGAAATACGAGGTTGCTTCCAGGCTTCAGAATGTCCTATGCACGCAATTTAAATATTTCTTCACATCCAGAGTTGTGTGCTGAGCTAGAATCCTATGTGATCCTTTCTGCCCATTTATTTAATCTGCATTTATTTTTAGTAGGAGCAAGGGAAGAGAAAATGGGAGTTAAGTTTAGCCATAATCGTAAAACTAGAGTGGCATTGGAGATGTAATTTTCTATTCTTAGCTTATTAAAAAAAAGTATAGTAGATGCTTAGATGAAAATAGGTCTTTTCCAAAATTGCAAGTCGGCATATTTAAGAAGTCTGTGCCCTGTGCAACCTAACTCATGTTGATTAAATATGTTCAACTTTTTAAAAAATGCGTTTTATGATACATGTTTTTAGAATTTGGAATCGAGTGAGTTTTCTGACAGACTCGAACACAACACCCAGAGGTACTTGGAGAGAAACCTGGTCCCAGAGGAGCTCTACTGGCCATAAAAATGAGTCCTGCAGATGCACTGTAAGCCTGTGACTTCTGGAATCTATTGTTACTTTTGGTTTTTAAAGTCTATCAACTATAAGCACCTTTAAAGAAAACAGTAGTAAACAGATTTACCTTTGGACTGAAAGTGTTAGTCATCAAAAAGAATATTTGGAATGTGTAAAAGTCCATGTTATGTTATTTGTTTACTGTCGAAAAGATAATATGGTGCTATAGTTTGGAGTCTTGCAGTAATTTTTTTATATTGCTATATTTTTTATATGTAAGCTTATGTCCTTAGGCTTTGTCTTAAAATATTTAAGCTGTAAGTATCCTTAAATTTTTATGATGAAATCCTAATAGTCACTGCGGTTCTGCTTAAGCAGATTTTTAGAGTAAATTGCTCTACTATTTGATTGAATTAAAAATAAATTTGAATAAAGTGAATGTACATAAAAGTTAAATGGAAAAAACTTTAGACTTGCAGTCTTTCACCTGGTTGCAAGTCTTTGGTCAAAATTAGTTGTAACATTAGGCAAGTCAGCAATTCTGAGCCTTGTCTCTTTCTTCTTTTTGTGTAATTGGAATAATGATGCCTTTCTCAGATTAATTTTGAGGGTTAAATGTGAGAATTTTTATGAAAGTACTCTGTACACTGCTATGGAATATGGAAGGATGTGGTAATCTGATCTGAAAATTTTGTAGCCATCAGAACTTTGTGCATATTATTTTTGAAATTTTTGAAGAAAAATCCTAAAATTTTTTTTGTATATAAAGATTTGGATTTGGGAGATAGATATAAAAATGTTTTTAAAACTCTTTTCTGATTTGGTAGAAATAGTCCAAGTTTTCTGGGGGTTTTTTTGGTAGCAGAGATTGAACTCGGGACCTTGTGCTTGTGAGGTAAGCAGTGGAACCACTGAGCTAAATCCCCGGCCCCTGAGTTTTCATTGTAGTATTTACTGCTGTTTCTGTCACTAGTTGAGTGATAGATCAGTTAATTTCTCTGTATATACCCTTTTCATTTTTCAGAGTTAAGATCATAGATATTTTAAAGTATTTTAAAGAATTGAGCTGGCTGTTGTGGTGCACACCTATAATCCCAGCACTTGGTAGGCTGAGGCTGGAGGATCATAGCAAGTTCAAGGCCATCTGGGGCTACATAGTCAGTTCAAGGCCAGCCTGGGCTACAGTGTGAACCTCTCTCAAAAAAAAAAAAAAAATTAAAAGTTACATTAAGTTTAAGAATGTTCATAACTATTGTATTGCTGCTTCATATGAAAGTACCTTTACCAAATTTCATTTGAATTGAAGTGGTTATTTTACTTCCCCAAATTTATTAATGAAAAAGTAACTATGTAGATAGTGGAGTCAAGCAAGTATTTTCAGGAGTCTGAATGTAAGTTACTAGATTAATATAATTATTTTCCTAGAAATGTGCAAAATCAGATAAGCCAAGTTTAGAAGTAAGGATCAAAGGCTTTTGGGTTTTTATGGTGGAATAGACTAGGAGGAGAAGCAAGTTTTAAGGTCTGGATTATTTGAGAGTATATAAAACTGGTTATAACAAGGTTATACGTTTCTGAAGCAGTTTCAGAATCCTTTAAAATGTATGTACCTTTGTTCTGTATTGAATTAGTGGCAAGGGGAACTGATTTTAACTATCTGTTTAATACTTCAAAATTTCAGACCAAGTTGAAGGATAGAAAAATGATTTTATTCCATACATAACTGCTGTTATTTATTTTGTCCTTAGGTCTCTTTTGCTCAAATATCTTTTAATGCATTCAAATTTTTTATTTTTTAATACAGTGTTGATGAAAATACATTTAAAATCTTAGTTGCAACTGATATTCATCTTGGATTTATGGAGAAAGATGCAGTGAGAGGAAATGATACATTTGTCACACTTGATGAAATTTTAAAACTTGCTCAGGAAAGTGAAGTGAGTTTCATTTACATCTGTGGGATTTCTACTCTATTTCCTTGGTCAACAGGCTCTTTTCCCTGAAGTTTGATTTTTATAGGTTCATATGCCCACACTGCCTAAGTATCAATATTCTAAAAGCTCAAAGCAGACACCCCTCCCCCACTGGGGATCAAACTCAGGACCTTGCGCTTGTGAGGCAGGTGCAGTGCCACTGAGCTAAATCCCCAGCTCTTCAAAGCAGATTTTATATGTGTTGTGTCCTTTATTCAAGTAGGAGCTACTTTAATGCAAATAGGCTTATAATTTACAAATATTCATGGGGTGTTTAATGAATGCATGGTCAATTTCTATTGGAAATGAAAATATTACTGTCATAGTTTTTGCTTTCAAAGAACATATAGCAAACTAATATATGAGCAAAAACAGATACCCAGAATATACATATGGAAAGTCATGTGGTAAGAGCTATAAAATCATAAGCAGCATTTCCTGGGAATTTAGAGCTGGAATAGATCACAATTATATGAGAATTGCAAGATGAGCTTAATGAAGGAGGTGACATTAAACTTGGGCTGTGAAGGAAGAATAGACTTTGATGCTTGAAGAGCATATGGAATGTACATTCTAGTGAAGCAGGAATAAAGGCACAGACCTGTTACAGTATGAAGTGTGTTAGGTGACCAGCACATCTCTTTGACTCAGTTGTAGGCCATGTGTTAGGAAGCATGCTGAAAGACTAGAAGTGAAGGTTTGAGTTGCATTGAAGAAGGCTTCAAATGCCAGACAGAGGAGTTTGTATTGAATTCAGTAGCCAGTCTTCTGGCAGCATGATATAACAGAATGAGTCGTTACTGAAGACTGTTTTGAGGCTTTTCGAAAAATAATGGCATTAGGGCCGGGGATTTAGCTCAGTGGTTCTTCCGCCTGCCTTGCAAGCGCAAGGTCCCAAGTTCGAGCCCCGGTACCAAAAAAAAAATTTTTTTTAAATGGCATTAGTAATGGAAAAGGGAAGTGAATGCAAGAGATATTACAAAGGTAGGATTTGGGTCCCTGGGTTATAGGAGTGAGGATGAGGGAAAAGGGATGGCAATGACTGAAGTACGTTGAGTCTGGGTGGATGATGGTACCAGTAGTAGAACTAGATAAATGAAGAATTATTTGTGTGGGAAGGTAGTGAATTCTGATTTACACCAATTTAGAACTGGAAATTTCAATAGGACTTTCAGGGAAACATTCCAGCAGGCAGTTGAATGTCAGTTTAGAGCTCAGGAAAGAGTTGGAAAATAAGCACAAGTGCTAGTGACTTGCAAATTAATAACCTTGACTTCTGCAGTTTCTATTCATTTTATCTGTAAAGCCTTTAGTTCTTCCTCCTGAATATAAATGGAACTTCCTCACTACCTTATATTTTCACACCTATAAACTTTCATTGTAGTTTACCTGAAGTGCATTTGCCCTCTACTGCTCTTTCCAAGTCATTCTTTCTCCCTGTATCCATTCAGCATAGCTGCTAAGGTAAACTTTTAAAATCCCGAATCAGGTCTGTCATTGTGCTGCTTAAAATGTTTCAAATGGCTTTCCCTTGAATATAAAAATTCACACTACAAGACTGACTTGATCTGGCTTCTGCCAGGAGCCTTCTTCTTTAGCTCTTCCTGGTCTACAGGGCTCTGTTTACGCTGGTGTGTTCTACTCTGGAACTTTCACAGGTCTGGTTTCCTGTGCTTGGAGCGCTTCGATCTTGGTAGGGTTGACTTCTCAGTTCAGATTTAACCTTTTTGAAGGGTCTTCCCTAGCACTCTATAACATTGTTTTATTACATAGCTCTGGAATAATTTATGAACTTTTGTGTTTTCTATTGGAAGGTACCCTCCATGGGAGTTAAAAACCTTTTCTGCTTGTTGATACTTGTTTATATTACCTAGAAAGGATGTAAAAAGTAGTAGGTACTCTTATTAATTTGTTAATTGAGTAAAAGAATGATTGGCATTATATCTTTTAAAGATGGATTCTTCTTTTCCAGTGTAGAGAATCTTATAGCCAAAACTGGTCTATTTCTGCCAGAGAATCCTGGATGTGCTCCCTCTTAATTTTAAAACATTTCTTTCCCTGAACCCAAGCCACTTCTCCTTTGTCCTTTCCTTGACTTTTGTTTCCTGATTCCCTTCCCAGCATCCCTTAATCCAGTTGCTCCCCTCAGCCCAAAGGGCGCCCATGGTGAACTTCCAGGTGCATATTATATTTATATGTATTTAGTATTTATTACTGAACTCTAAATTCTTCCTGACTTTTAAATCTTCTATCATGTGGGTCCATGCCATTTAGCTAGTGGTTTTTTTTTTTAGCTAGTGTTATTTTTATTCCCTTGTTCTTTAGAGTCTTTAAAAAAATTTTAATTTTGAAATTACTTTTAATAATCGGTCTTACTGAAACAATTGCAAGAATAGTACAGAGAATTCCTTACCCTGCACCTAGATTTTCTAATATTTTATCACATGTGCTCTCTTTTTTTTTCTCCTTATACACACACACACACATTTTCCTGAACCATTTAAGTGTAAATTGGATGTATTACCATAGTACACACATCAAAACCAGGAAAGTAATATTGATTCAATACTATTATGTAGTTCTAATGTATTGCCAGTTGTCCCCGTAATGTTTGTTATAGCAACTTAGGGGCAGGAAGGTAGTGCATAGTACCTAAGCCAAGATTACATATTGCATTTTGTTGTTATGTCTCATCTTTTTTAACCTAGTACATTTACCCAATCTGCTTTTGTCTTCCATGATCCACATTATGTTGGAAGAGTATGGGCTGGTTATTTTGTACATTGCTTTTTGAGTTGTAAATGTCTAGTATTTCTTCATGATTTGATTCAGGTTCTATTCAGGTTCTGCAGGTTTGTCAGGAATACCATAGAAGCAAGTTAAGCCCTTCTCAGGGTTTCCTGGAGGCACAAGTTAATTTTTAAAAACATTTGTTAAAAACATTTTTAAATTGTTGTAGAATACACATAACATGAAATTTACCATCTTAACCGTTTTTAAAAGTAAACAGTCAAGTAGTACATTCACATTGCTATGTAAGCAACTCTTCCATCTTGCAAGTGATACCCATAACCCAACAACTTTTCATTCCCCCAATGTATTTTTTACATGTTTATTTTGTTTGCTCCATAAGTTTGATTATGATCATTTTCTTTAAAGGCCTAGCTTAAATCTTACATTTTTCTTAAAGTTCCCCTAACTGTTGTAGCCACAGTGATCTGTACTCCACTGTTCTTTAGGATAATTAAGAACTTAAATTTCTTTAGCTTATATACTTCTGGAAAGTGTGATTGTATTGGTTTTTTTTCTGTGTGATTTCCCTTCACTGATATTATTTCCTCAAAATCTTGTTTGTCCTTCGTAGTATGTCTCAGATGCCACCGTGTTAGTACATCCCTCCAGACTTTCTGTCCTTGCATGAATGTCTTTTCCTCAGGATTCATTGTAATGTCATCTCTGTTTCAGTTTATTTACATAATTGTTCTAGTCAGAGTCTGACTTGTGTTTAGGTACACAGCAGTTTTCCTTACCCATCAGAGCTTGAAGATATTTAGGACAGTAGTTTTATTTTATTCATTGTTATATCCAAAATGTTTGATGAGGGCAGGGATACCATCTCTTTTCTAGATTGCTGTTTCCTTAGCTACTGGTGTATGCAAGAACTCTATAATAATTCAGTGAATAACTTGGATTGAATTGATATCTCTTCTCTGTGTTCTGTTAAAGTACTAAGTTGGTATTTTACTTAAAATTTGAAAAATGCAATATAATTGCCTTGAAAAACTTGACTCAAGGACTTACTGTAGTAATTTAAAGGTAGTTTTTTGAATGTGGTTTAGGAACCTAAATTGGAGTAAGAGTAATTACTGGATTTGAAGTCCCTTTGAATAAATAAAATGTAAGATTTTAAATTGCCGTATATAATAGTGTCTTGTGAAATTTTTTGTATATCTTTCATCTTTAAAAAAATTTTAAAAATTTTTACCTGTAAAATTTACTAATTTTAACACCATTTTCTGTTGATTAGGTAGATTTTATTTTGTTAGGTGGTGATCTTTTCCATGAAAATAAACCTTCAAGAAAAACATTACATTCTTGCCTGGAGTTATTTAGAAAATATTGTATGGGTGATCGTCCAGTACAGTTTGAAATCATCAGCGATCAGTCAGTCAACTTTGGTTTTAGTAAGTAAGTATATTTATTACTTAAGTGATAAAACTTATTTTCTGTGTGAATCAAATAAACACTTTAGCAATTAGCCTATAAACTATTTTCATAATAAATGCAGTTGTTTGGATTTTTTGTATATCATTGTACAAATATTGGGAACTGAGTATCTTAGATTTTTATATCCTCTTTTATAGCTTCTGTTGGGATTTTTAAAAATCTTTTCCTACCTGATTTATATCAGTTATTGTATATTCTAGATAGTAAGCCTTTGTTAGGCATAAATATTTTTATCCCTGGACAATCTGTAGATTGTCTTTTGATTTTATGTAGTCTTTTGACCAAAATATTTAATTTTCATGTAGTCAAATATATCATTTTTTTTTTTAAGATTTGTCCTTTTGAAATTTATGATATTTCTCTAGAACCCCAAATGGTACAGATACCATGATGTTTCTTCTTAAATATGGTACAGGGTACCATTTTGCATTTAAGTGTTACCTTAGTCTCCTTTAGCATCTGTTAAAGTCTCTTTTTATTGTTGTTGTTGTTTGAGACAGGGTCTTACCATGTAGTTCAGGATGACCTTGAACTTACTGTGTAGCCCAAGCTGTTCTCAAATTCACAGCAATCCTCCTGCCTCAGCCTCCTGAGTGCTGGGATTATAGACATATACCACCACTCTGGGCATGTATTTTCATGATAACACTGATACTTTTGAGGCCTATCACTTGAGAATTTTGTAGAATGTCTTTCATTTGATCTTTCGTGTAGATTGGGATTAGGGGAGGAATAGCAGAGGTGAACCCTTTGATAGCATTGTATCAGTAGGTACATGATATTGACAGGACTTGTCACTGGTGATGTTAACTCGATCACTTGATTAAGGTGGTGCCCGCGAGGTTTCACCACTAGAAAGCTATTTTCTCCTTTCTATATACTCTTTGTTAAAAGTTAGTCCCTGAAGTCCAGGGGAGATTCAGCTTCTAGAAGGAAGAATCAAAGAATTTATAGGCTATAATGCTTTATATCTGGCTGTCCTCCTAAAGCCTTATGTGTGCAAAGAAGGGAGTTTTGAAAGATGATTGGATTATAGGGACCGTTTAGCCAACTTGCTGTTGGAAGGTGGGGCCTACTCAGAAGAGGTGGGTAACACTGGGGCCCTGACCTGGAAGGCTGTTACTTCCCTTCCTGGCTATACTCTTTGCTTTCTGCTTCTTGAATTCCGTGAGGTGGGTAGCAGTCCTCAGCCTAGGGCCATCCATCATGTCCTTTCAAATCAAAAAAATTCGTAACATTAAAAATAGGTAAAGAATATGGACACAGTTTGAAGAAAAGGAGATAAGGTGGCATTTAAAAATATATATATATATTTTTTTTTTGCGGTACCAGAGATCAAACTCAGGACCTTGCACTTGCATGGTGGGCGTGGTGCCACTGAGCTAAATCCCTGGCCCTAAACATATTTTTAAAAAGCTCTATCTTGTTCATAAGAAAAATATAAAATGAAGCCATACTGAAATATTTTTCTTCTGGAAGATTGGCATGGATCAGTGATTCTCAGTCCTGAGTGCTTCTTACAGTTAACTAAGAATCCTATAAAGTTCTGATGCCCGATATACATGCCAACCTATGTGTCTCTTTGAGTGTGTCATAAGCAGTGGTATTTCTTAAAAGTTGCCCAGGTAATTCTTAACATGTAGTCAGGGTGAGAACCACTAGCATAAATTTAAAGCCTGATAATATACCATGTTGGTGGGGTTGGGGAAACTGTCCTGATACATTGTCATTATGTTATGTGTAAATTTGAACAGTCCATGGAGAGAAATTGGCAGTAGTTACCAAGATTAAAAATGCACAAGTCTTTTTATCCAGAATTTCCTTCTAGATATTTTCCTACAGGTACCTTCTCATAAGGGCAAACTTTGTGCAAGATTACTCACTGTAGCATTGTTTGTAAAACAAAAAGCTGGAAAAAATAATGTCCACTGGTAGGGAACTGTCTAAACAGTGTATAGTAAACCATACAATGGAGTACTTTGCCAGCCAACAAAAAGCAAAAGGAAGCCTTTTGTATTTAGTACTGCTATGGAATGATTTCTAAACTATGTAAAGTGATAAAAGCAGAGAGGCAGAGATCTAAACTATGCTAACATTTATGAAAGATGTAAGAAGATATATTTATGTGTTTATGTAGGTATGAGATTATTTTTAAAAAGATGTGATAGAAATTACTAACATTAACAAAGGGGCCAAGAATATATACCGGAGGAAATGTCGCCTTTTTAATAAATGCTGCTGGGAAAACTGGCTATCCACATGCAGAAGATTGAATCTAAACCCGTATCTCTCACCATAAACTAGTATCAAAATGAATCAGAGATTTAAATGTTAAAGCAGAAACACTTAATCTGCTAGAAGATAAAATAGGTAAAATTCGTGAAGTCATAGGCAGAAGGACTTTATGAACAAAACTCTGGTTGCATAGGAAGTAATACCAAAGATCAACGGATGTGATCATAACGAATTAAAGAGCTTCTGCACAACAAAAGAAACAACAGAATGGGAAAAATTTTGGCCAGGTTTTCCTCAGATAGAGGACTAATATCTGGAATATATAAAGAATTATGGAAAATTAGACCCTTCAAGCTAAAAGACCCGATCAAAAAACGGGCAAGTGAAATGCATAGACACTACTCAGAAGAAGTACACATGGCCAATAAAAACGTGAAGAAATGTTCAACATCAATGGCCATTAGAAAAATTCAAGTTAAAACAACACTGAGATTCCATTTTACCCTAGAAAGAAAAGCCATCATCAGGGAAACAAATAGTAACAAATGTTGGTGAGGCTGCGGGGTAAAGAACCATTCTGCACTGTTGATGGGAATATAAATTAGTGTGGCCACTGTAAATCAATATAGCGATTCTTAAAAAAACTAAAGCTAGAAGTTGTACTTTACCTAGCTATTCTCCTTCTAAGTGTCTTCCCCAAAGAGTTAAAAGACATCCTATTATAGTGATATATACATACCTATTTTTATGGTAGTACAATTTATAATAGGTAAATCTTGGAAGTGGTTGTATGCCCATGAATAGATAAATGGATAAAAAATAAATGTATTTAAGCTGGGGATTTAGCTCAGTGGTACAGTTCCTGTCTCACAAGTGTAAGGTCCTGAGTTCGATTCCCAGTACCAAAAAAATTTACATACAGTGGAGCACTACTCTGCCACAAAGGATAAACTTGAGTATTTGTAGAAAAATGGATGCATCTTGAGACTATAATGTTAAGTGAAATAGGCAAAGAAGCTTAAATATTGCATGTTTACTCATATAAGAAACCCAAAATATAAATACAGTGGTTCCTCAATTCATGAACTTAATTCTTTCCATGATTCTGTTTGCAAACTGAATTGGACAAGAACCGAATCAAATTTCTCCATAAGGTTAACATTGAACCTAACCATTAAATTTGATTTGGTTTGCATCCAGTTTTGTTTGTGACCAGAATTGTGGAAAGAATTATGTTCGTGAACCAAGGTAAAGAGCATAATAAAAGATAGATAATAAAAGTAGTGAGATAAGGGCTGGGGATTTGGCTCAGTGGTTCTGCTGCCTATTTTGTAAGCGCAAGGTCACGAGTTCGATCTCCAGTACCAAAAAAAGAAAAGTGATGAGATAGATCTCCCTAATGGAAAGGGAATCGAGAAGAGGAAGGAGATGAAAAAGAGTTAAGATGTGTCATGTACATGAACCAACTTCCCACAAAGAACGTAGTCATTATGTACTGCCAACATGTACTAATAAAAAATAAGAACAACAAACACAAAAAAGAAATTGCTAATATTATTTGCCCCTGAGAAGAGGAGCTGGAAAGCTGGGAGCAGGAGTGGGCAGGAGACTAAACTGCACAGCTAGTAGATGATAGAATTGGAATTGTTATTCTAGATCTTTTAGATACCAGGTATACTCAATATGTTTTCTCCCCTTTCCCCACTACAAATAAAAACCTATACAAAGGCTTCAGTGCCAGGCATGGGGGCACCTACCTGTAATCCCAGCACTTGAGAGGCTGAGGCAGGAGGATCACTGTGAGTTTGAGACCAGCATGAACTCTAAAATGTAATACTTCAAAATATTTTCAAACTTTAATTGAAATGAATTATTGCCTGTTTTATGTTCTAAAGCTCTAAACCAGTGGTTATCTGCTAATTTGGGTCACACAGTTTGCCTCCAGGTGTGTTAGTGTCTCTGAGGAGACTCTGGGAAACAGCTTTTGTCCTTCCTAGAAACTTTAACTTTTCTTCTTTTTCAAAGGTTTCCATGGGTGAACTACCAAGATGGCAATCTCAACATTTCAATTCCAGTGTTTAGTATTCATGGGAATCATGATGATCCCACTGGGGTAATTATTGTTTTGTTGTAGGTAAAGGTTTAGAAATGACCAGTTTAGTTTATCTTTGGAGACCACCAGTTTTCCCAGCAATTTGTAGTCAAATTGAGTCAAGAAGTCAGAATCACTTTTACCATTAATATAAGTATCTGTGCTGTTTTTTGGATTTAGAAAATATCTAAGAATTGCTATATGAGCTATGCTTTTACATCAGTGGCGGTGAATCTATGGCACACGTGCCACAGTGTGCTGTTTGTATCATTGAAAGCTCTAAAAGGTTCTCCATCACTTTTATATCATCAGAGCTGAGTTTAACAATGCATAACCAGGAGTAGGAATAAACACCTAACGTTTTCGTAGTACTCTGTAGTTACCAGTATTTTGATATCACTTATGGTCTCATAGGAAATAATTGTTTTTGGTTTTGGTACTGGGGCTCAAACTCAGGACCTTGTGCTTGCAAGGCAGGCTACGGCACCACTGAGCTAAATCCCTGTCCCAAGGAAATGATTGTTTTATGAGCAACTTTAAATCTACATTAGATTATTCTATTGGCTCTGATAAAGATATAAGATTAGAGGTCCTAAACTCAAAGCATCTTTATTTTATCTGGTCAAATATAAGTCTGTAGTTATATATATAGTCTTTTTCCTCTAGTTCTTAAGAAATCTACTTAATTATTACAAAGCATGTGTTTCACAGCTGATTTTTATATTTTAGTGGCCAAGTTATCATGATAGTTGTGATATCATATTAACTTTGCATTTAGCATGTGATTCTTGTTGCTGTAGCAAATTTGTAATAGAAAAAAGTAGCAAATACTTTTACTATTGGAATTTTGTTTTGAAAAGAAACTTTTCCTAATCTATAGTTTTGTAATCGTGGGTTAAAGATCTCTAATCCAAAAACAAGAGATCCAAAATGCTTCAAAATCTGAAACTTACTGGTCAAAAAGTTTTGGATTTTGGATGTTTAAATTTGGGATGCTCAACGGCCAAGTGTTTTATAGAAACACTCTAAAATCTGAAAAATTCCAAAATCTGAAACACTTCTGGTCTGAAGCATTTTGAGTAAGGTGTACTCAACCTATAGTGAATATGGGTTAGGCTTATAATAGATAATATGATGCTCATATAAATCACTTGTTTTTATATACACATTAACATTCTTTGATAATTTGTATAGGCAGATGCACTCTGTGCCCTGGATATTTTAAGTTGTGCTGGATTTATAAATCACTTTGGACGTTCAATGTCTGTTGAGAAGATAGATATTAGTCCAGTTTTGCTTCAAAAAGGAAGCACAAAAATTGCTCTCTATGGTTTAGGTAAGATGACTTTATTTCAGTATATATGTCACTTAAAAATTGTTTAAACAATTATTGAGAAATGTAATTTTGGAGACAACTTTGTAGTCCTTTGGAAAAAAGTGAACCAAATCAGATTACTTCTCATTAGTGATTGTAAAATATAATGGAAGGTTTGGTAAAAATTTTTTACTATTTATAAGGAACAATAAATGATAATATAATCTTGTTTTTAATAGTTTTGGTGAAAAAAAAATTCCCTTTAGTATCTATTGTTTTAGGCTTTTTCTTTTAGACTCAGATACAGAATCTTAAATATTAGAATTAGGGACTAATTATTTTAAAAAATGAATTATAGAATAATTCTATAAAATTTAATTTAGAATAATTCTCCATCAAAACTGCATTTTGGTATCTTGGAAGTCTTTCAGAGGTCTACTGTGTTGCTGAGGAGTACAGTAACCACTAGCCTCCTGTAGGCATGGAGCACTTGAAGTGTGGCTAGACAATTACAGTGTGCTCTACCTATAAAGTACACACCAGATTTCAAGAACTAAAGGAAAGCTATAGAAGATATTATTAATATATTAGATAAAATAAGTTAATTAAATTTGTCTTTTTATTTGTGTTAATGTGGCTACTATTAAAATGACATTTGACATGCATTAGTAGCTCTAGTTATATGTCTATTGGACAGTGCTAGTCCAGAGCTGTCCATCTGTAATGATCAGAAATTTGCTGTATCAGCCTCACTAACTTCAATTTATTTAGTGTTCAGTAGGTAAAAGCTTATTTGCTAGGCTTAATTCCATGTGAATGAAAGACTAAAGATTCTTTTTAAAAAGTGCTTTCATTATTTTATATCTCAAGTATACCTAAGGCTAGAAATGATGTATGTATGTATTTTTCCTATATTTTTTATTAGATTATACAGATTAATGGATTTAATTTTGGCACATTCATACATGCACATGACATACTTTTTAAATTATACCATCACTCTCCTGTGCCACCTTCCTCCTTAGTTTGGGGTTTAGAAATAATGTATTTCAAGTCCATTTATTGTGCCTTTTTGTCTGATTCTGCAAGTGATAGAGCAAGATCATTTTTTTTTTAAAGCTATTAATAGTTTTAATCATTGCAGTGTTAGGGATCATCTCTCCAGAAAATGGTTTCTCCTTCTAGGTTCAGATTAAGAACAGATCCCATTTCATGCCTCTGTGCATGTTTTATCTATTTTCTCCCAGTTTCCTCTTATCCTGGTCTGCCTTAAGTGGAGTCTGTCTCCACCCCAAAGACCTACCCTTCACTATAAACGGCTATGAATTCTACAACTCTTTGTAATCAGTAAGTTCCTTTCCCTCTTCAGGCTGTCCTCAGGATGTTGACCACGTGGTCTTCTGAAATCCTGCGTCCCTGTTTTGTTTTGTTTTGTTTTGTTTTTGTACAGGGGATCGAACTCAGGACCTAGCGCTTTTGAGGCAGGAGCGGTGCCACTGAGCTAAATCCCCGGCCCTCCTGTGTCCCTGTAGATTTTGTACTGATGGGCTTTGGGGCAGGACCAAAGATCACTGTTGTCCTTATTTCCCACCACTCTTCTTTCATGCCACTCAGACCACTCTCCTTTTCAAAGCTTATTCCATCTGCCTAAACTACCTTCTCCTTTCCGTTAAACTTTTTACTCTCCTCACACCTGCCTTCCAGTTTTTAGTGGTCGTAGTGCTTTAGCACCTAAGTAGGTCAGCCTTTGATGCCCCAGGCTTTTGTGCTTTTCTTGTGTCTTCAAGTATGTAATCTGCATTCCACCTCAGCTATTTACTCCACAGCCAACTTCTACATTGTTGGTTTTCCTTCTGGGATCTGTAAAGTAGTGACCTCATCTGTTCCCTCTCCAGTCCTGCACTGTTATTCTTCACCTTGGAATCCTGGCCTTTTCTCCTTTTATAATGTTTAAATTTGTTATTGTTTATTTGTTTTTGTTAGTTTCCACTAGGCAAACTGAAGAATATGGGAAGAAGTATTGAGAGTAAATGAGTTATTAAAAAGCAAAATATTTTTATTTAAAAACACAAAATAATAATAATGTACTTTAGAACACATTTATTGTCCCCTTTAATCTGTATAACTATACATGTTATAATTTATGTGTTGGGTTAAAAGTATGTGAACTTTAATGTTTATTAAAGGGATAGTGAAAAACAAAATTACTAGAAGTTTCATAATTTAAACATAGGAAATTTCCTTTTAATTCCCATGTTCCTGAATTAAAGGTACATATGCCTGAAATAGGAAATGTTCTTTGAATGCAACTCACTGCTGTTGTGTTCAAACCTGGAACATAGATTTATAAATGACATCACCCATAAATAATTCCAGAATTCAAATATATTTTTAAACAATACAGTAAAATATTTTGAGAAACACATAATTTAGAAGTGAAAATTTTTTTTTAACCAAAGAAAGAAAATAATTTAAAAATAATGTTATGTCCACTTCAGGATCCATTCCAGATGAAAGGCTCTATCGAATGTTTGTCAATAAAAAAGTAACAATGTTGAGACCAAAAGAAGATGAGAGCTCTTGGTTTAACTTATTTGTGATTCATCAGAACAGGTAAAGGTATTCTCTGAAAGCTTTTGGGTCAATAATGGAGGTTCCTCAGACCTGTTTTCAAGCTCATCTACTGTAGTAAAATACTTGTATTCCTTCAAGGTTGCCAGTGTAGGATCAGGCAAAACTTAGATTTGCTTTATGTGATTTCATTTTTAAATTGTTTTCAGTATATGTTAATATCTATAAAGGAATATTTGTAACATATGGATGAGAAATAAAAATAACCATAAAACCAATACTCCTAAATTCAGCAAAAGGTGGAATCTTACCCATTACATTGTCCCATCCTCTTGCTTGATCTCATCTGCTTCCTCATACCTCAGAGGAAGCATTCTCAGGTTTGAATTAATCATTTCATTATTATTTAATCACATATATATTCACAATTGATTTTATTTAGTTTTAATATAACAAATCATGCTGTATGTTTTACAGGCAACTTATTTTCAATATTACGTTACTGAGATCCATTTTGGCTCAGAAATGTAATTTATTTTTACTGATGTGCACAGTTATATTTCTTCTTCTTGTCAGTGAACACTTTTATTTCCAGTTTTTTGCCTTCTTGCACATTTAGAAACCTTTCTTACATATTTCTCTTGGTCCATATATGTGAAAGCATCTTTCCAGAATATGTAAATATAACTAGTGGGCCTACTTTTGTTGGTACTTGTAAGTTCAATCTGTTGGTAGGATACAGGGTTGATTGAAAGGAAGAGATTGAGAAAGCTGAGATTTATTATATGGTTCCTGCAGTAGAAAATGTGAGGTGGCAGCAGTGATACCAGTGAAACTGATAGAGGAGAAACCTGGGAAGCTGTCAAGGAAGAATCCAAGGGATTTGGGGACTGATTGTATGATTTCTTTATTGAACGTACTTATTGAATACAGAGTACTCTGCATTTATTGAATACAGACTTATATTAGGTACTGGGTTAAAAAAGGACTTCAGGAAGCAGACTTGGATTGCCTTACGTATGTTCTTGAGTGAATAATATGAGTGTCAAAGGAAGAGTATGCTAGGGTTTTGATGTGTATCATTTCCGCGTAACTTCACACACTTACGAGTTATTCTCTCTTGTGGAGTGCTTCCCAGTTTTGCCAGACTTTGTACTATGCCAAAGTAAGGATTAGTTGAAAGGAGAACTTAAAGTAATTCCAAGAATTTAAGCCAGAAAGAAAGGTAAAAGGCAGCATTAGTGTTGTAGTTACTTTTGTTATTACTGGGACAAAATACCTGACACAAGTTGAAGGAAAGGTTTATTTCAAAACTCATAGTTTTAAGAGGTTTAGTTCATAGGTGACTAACTCCAAGGCAGGATGGCATGGCACCAGGGACATTGAAGAGGAGAAACAGTCCATGGCAGAACAGGCAGAAAGCAGCAGCAGCAGCCTGCCTTCCATTTTTCCCTTTTGACCCATCCAGGCTACAAGCCTTTTGGGTGGTGCCACCCACACCCATGGTGAGCCTTTCCATTATTGACACCCAGAACTATGCTAAACCAACAGTGGACTAATGTGTACCACACATTCTTAATCTCAGTATCACCCACCCTAGATCTACCCAGCTCTACAAAGCTCCATCTAAGAGGACATGAGACTTTGGGGGGTACATCTAGATACAAGACATAACAGTTAGTAAGGGGAACAGGTAAACATGTGATGTTGATGTGTCTCACTGCTGGTGGGTTAACCTTCATCATTTGATTAAGGTGTATTACAGACTTCTCCAGTATAAAGTACCCATTTTCTGCTTTTTTAATTTAATGAATATTTTTGGAAAAATACATTGAGATCATATAAATATCCTGTTTCACCTTAAATTTTTGCCCATTAATTTTATTATCTGTTTGGTGATCATGTTTCCAACAGTTAATACTGTGGTATTGCCATTGTGACCATTTGTCTTATTCTTTCTGTTTAGTAATTAGAATTCTTCAAAAGGAAAATTTGTCCCTTCTTCATTTATTTATATCACTATAGATTTAAGGATCTTTATTTTATTCTTTGAGTTACCTAGGGGTTTCACACTAAGCTACATCCCCAGCTCTTTTTTTAATTTTTAATTTTGAGACAGGATCTTTCAAAGTCACTAAGTTGCCCGGTCTGGACTTGAACTTATAATCCTCTTGCCTTAGCTTTCCAGAGTGCTGGGTTTATAGGCATGTGCCATCACTTCCAGCATCAAAGAGGATATTTTGATCTACTTCTAGGCCACAGATCAGAGTCTGCCTACTTGCATAATCTTCCTTCTTTTTGTCAGTAAAGAGCCAGTGCTCCATGAAGGGAAAATGACATGTTGCATATGACAGTTACCTGCTTGTCTTTAGCAGTAGTGACAGTCTCATACCGGGAATGTTTGTTCTTTACATGAAAACATTCTAAAATACACAAGCCAGCTGCTGCCCTGATTTCATTTCCTGCCTTCTGCATTACTGTGTTCAGCCACACTTATCTCCCTAAGCCATGACCCTTGAGCCAGTGGACCATCTGGAGCCCATGGACCACCTTCAGCCCATGGATCACCTCACCACTTCAGCACCTTTGCCTTGTGCTCTTCCCATGCAGAGGACTCTCTTCTGTTGCATACTGATCCCTCATTGCAGTTCCTTGCTCATTTGTTACTCCCTGGAGAGACTGTTCCTGACTACCCCATATGGAAAGTAGTATCCCCTTCCCTGTTGCACTTCCTTTTCTTTTTCTTTTTTTTTTTGGTACCAGGGATCAAACTCGGGACCTTGCACGTGCGAGGCAGGCGGCGGAACCACTGAGCTAAATCCCTGGCCCCTCTTTTATTTTTCTTAATATCACCTGTCACTACCTGACAAGTTTTATTACACACACACACACACACACACACACACACACACACATTGTGCTGTTGTTTAATTCCCTGACAAGAGCAAGGGCTTGGTTCGCTGCTGTGTTACCTGCTTGATATACATAGTAGACACTCACTAAATATTGGTTGGATGAATGAGTGAATATTGGTTTGGATCAAATGAATGCTAGGGTAAAGTACGTATTCAAATACTTTTCTCAAATAATATTAGTTAATATTAAGGAAAACTCTTCCTGTCTTTTCTCACTGCGTGATGACTTTACTAAATATAAAACCACAGTTGCAAATCATTTGTTCATATGATATTTAACACTGGAAACTCTTTACTCATGCTGAATTGACTTTTTTTTTGGTTCTGGGGATCGAACTCAGGACCTTGTGCTTTTGACTGAGCTAAATCCTCAGCCCTTGAATTGACATTTTAACTCCCATTATGTTTGTATAATTAAAAGAAACAGGATATTTTAAATGACTGGACACATTAAAAAATTTTTTTATACCACAAAGCTTAGATTTAACTCACTTTCATTTTCTGTCTCTTTGAGGGTGTATAATGAGAGCAACTTGTGGTTTTTAACCATTGACAGCTCATGCTTCTCTGACTTGACCAAAGGGGGGTCCTTTCCCTGGTAAAGCTTTTTGTGATCTTCCTTGAAATACACAATCAACTATATTCTCTCTTAGGATTCCTATCTGACTGTGTCTTATAAACTCTTGATGGTCAGAAATTAAATACTGATTATCTTTTCATTTCCAATCCCTTGGGCAGTTTCTTATACAAAGAAGGATATGTGTCATTCCTATCATAAAGACCTGTGTAGATCTGTGAATACAGAAGTTTTCTATATTGCTGTGAATTTATGTTATTTGTGTTTTTGCTTTTTTTTTTGTTATTTGTTTTTTTAAATCTTGGTGTAGGAGTAAACATGGAAGTACTAACTTCATTCCAGAACAATTTTTGGATGACTTCATCGATCTTGTTATCTGGGGCCATGAGCATGAGTGTAAAATAGCTCCGACCAAAAATGAACAACAACTCTTTTACGTATCACAGCCTGGAAGCTCAGTGGTTACTTCTCTTTCTCCAGGAGAAGCTGTGAAGAAGTGAGTAATTATTACATATTCAAATAAGTTTTTAAGAATTCCTTCCTGTAATAATCTGCTAATCATCCACTATGTTTGGGATGCTGGCCAAAATAAACAGATTTATTTATGAAGAGTGGTCATTCTATGTAGTTTTATTGTTTTCCTAGATGTTAAGCCATTTTCAACAAGAGAGCATCCAGTTGGTGTTAGTGATTTTGCTGCTCATTAGGCAGATTCAGTTTATTAAATTTCAGATTAGATGCTATATAGCTGATGAGTAATTTCACAAAGTCCTATTATAAACCAGTTGCCAGAAAATTGCTTAATTTTCATTTTCCTTTGTTATAAATGCAATAGTATAGTGCAGTGATGGCAAATTTTTTAGAGCTTTCAATGATAACACAGCCCACTGTGGCATGTGTGCAATAGGTTTACCACTACTGGCATAGTATATCTAATTTCATTTAATTCTATGGCAAAATGATATATTTTTAAAAAGTGATTTATAGTGATTAAACTCAATTTTTATAATGGGCTTGAATCACCTAGCAAAATGCTATCTCAAAAGAGAAAAAAAAATCGTTTTAAGAATATGGTAGTAAGATGTATGATTATTGTTTTTATCTCTGTGGCTGTGCTTCAAATTAATTTGATCTTAGTTCTGATAACATTTTATTATATTTGTTAGGTCTACTTTCCATTAGAAGACTGTGTATTTGTTTAGATAGCGAAAATGATAGATGAATGGATTTTATTCTGAGGAAGAAGAATATTATCCTTTAATAACATAAAGATTAAACTACTCAAAACATTTTATTTATTTAATTTTTGGTACCTGGGATTGAACTCAGGACCTTGTGCTTGCAAGGCAGACGCAGTGCCACTGAGATAAATCCCTGCCTCAAAACATTTATTTTTAAGAGTATGGTTTTGTAAGGGAATATCTTGTAGGAGCTAAATTTAGAAATATAGCTTTTATATGTACATTTTCTGAGGAAATTTATGTTGTGACTAAGCTTTCAATTTTTTCCCCTTTTAGACATGTTGGTTTGCTGCATATTAAAGGGAGGAAGATGAATATGCAGAAAATTCCTCTTCAAACAGTACGACCATTTTTTATGGAAGATGTTGTTCTGGCTAATCATCCAAACATTTTTAACCCAGATAATCCCAAAGTAACTCAAGCCATACAAAGCTTCTGTCTGGAGAAGGTAATCTTTTATATAAAGTCAGTGGGATATACTTTAGCCAAGAAATTATTTACCTTCAATTAAATAATACAAGAAAGCCTTTACTATGTTTATTACATTCTTGTGAAATGAATAGTAAGATACCTGTTGTTCAGGAAACAAGTTATTGTCAAAGATATTTTTTTCTTTTGCAGCCATTCTAATAGAGGAATGCTAGGTATAAAAAATACTTCTCTCAGGGCCAGGGATTTAGCTCAGTGGTTTTGGCACCTGCCTCAAAAGAGCAAGGTCACGAGTTCGATCCCTGTTACCAAAAAAAAAAAAAAAAAACCAAGAAAACAAAACTTCTCTCTCCCGGATACTTTCTTTCAAAAAACATGGTACAGGCTGGGGATTTAGCTCAGTGCTGCCACCACCTGCCTCGCACGTGCAAGGTCCCGAGTTTGATCCCTGGTACCAAAAAATAAAATAAAATAAAATCTTTAAAATATTTGCTTTGCCACCTCATACCTTTATCCTAAGCCCTTGTACCTCCATGTAGATTGTCACCCCTAAAACTCTGTAGAAACTCTGGTGCCCCTACTGAATTTGGTGAATGCTTTTACTGGTATATAGTTTAATATCATAATAACTAATTGCTGAGCTGGGGATTTAGCTCCGTAGTTCCACCGCCTGCCTCACAAGTGCAAGTTCCTGAGCTCGAACTCCGGTAACAACAACAACAAAATAATAATAACTAGGCCGATGGGTCCACACCGCCAGGTCGTTGATGGGAGTCGGGCACACTGCTCCGCAGTGCCGCCGAGGGTCTGGCTGTCACCGGAGCCCCCACTGCCCATGCTGAGCGCCTTATAAGGCTGTGCAATGACTTAACCAGCGGGCCCAGCATTCCGCTCACATTGTTTGGGCAACTCCCGGAGCAGCTTGCACAGCAGGCGCGCAGTGAGGCGGTGTGACAGGCTGGAACTTTGGCTTACCGCAGGCAGCTCAGATTAAAGAAGCTGATTGATCAAGAAACTGAGTCCCAGGAGGAAAAGGAGCAAGAAAAGGAGAAGAGAGTCACAGCCCTGAAAGAGCTGACCAAGCTGAAGTCTTTTGCTTTGATGGTGGTGGATGAACAACAAAGGCTGACAGCACAGTTGGCCCTTCAGAGACAGAAAATCCAAGACCTGACCACAAGAGCAAAGGAAACACATGTTAAATTGACTCTTGCTGAAGCCAGAATTCAGGAAGAAGAGCAGAAGGCAACCAGGCTAGAGAAAGAACTGCAAACCCACACCACAAAGTTTCATCAGAACCAAGACAAAATGGCAAAGCTCACCGAGGACAGTCAAAATCGCCAGTTCCGACAAAAACTGGCAGCACTCAGACAGCAAATTGATGAGTTTAGAAGCAACAAACATTCTTACGAAAAGCAGAAGAGGAGCTTCAAGATATGAAAGAAAAAATCAACAAAGGAGAATATGGAAACATTGGTATCCTGGCTGAGGTGGAGGAGCTTAGGAAGCATGTATTAGATATGGAAGGGAAACATGGCTCGTAAAAGTGGAGGAACAGTGTAGAGATCTCAATAAGAGGCTTGAAAAGAAAACAACACAGAGCAAGTAAACTGGAAGTTGAAAAACTTAAAGGATTATGGCTCTGGAAAAATTAGAAGATGCTTTCAACAAAAGCAAACAAGAATGTTACTCTTTGAAATGCAATTTAGAAAAAGAAAAAATGACTACAAAACAGTTGTCTCAAGAACTAGAGAGTTTAAAGGTGAGGATCAAAGAGTTAGAAACCATTGAAAGTAGGCTGGAACAGACAGAATTCACCCTAAAGGAGGATTTAACTAAATTAAAAACATTAACTGTGATGCTTGTAGATGAATGGAAAACTGAGTGAAAAGTTAAAGCAAACTGAAGATAAGTTACAAGCTGCTTTTTCTCAGCTTCAGGTGGAGCAAAATAAAGTAACAACAGTTACTGAGAAGTTAATTGAAGAAACTAAAAGGGCACTCAAGTCCAAAACTGATGTGGAAGAAAAGATGTACAGTGTAACCAAGGAGAGAGATGATCTTAAAAATAAATTGAAAGCAGAAGAGGAGAAAGGAAATGATCTCCTGTCAAAAGTTAGTATGTTGAAAAATAGGCTTCAATCTTTGGAAGCAACTGAGAAAGATTTTCTTAAAAATAAATTAAATCAAGACTCTAGTAAATCCACAATAGCATTACACCAAGAAAACAAGATTAAAGAGCTCTCTCAAGAAATGGAAAGAGTGAAACTAAAGGATATGAAAGCCATTGAGGATGACCTCATGAAAACAGAAGATGAATGTGAGACTAGAACAAAGGTATGCTGATGAACGAGACAAAGTTCAATTTTTATCTGAAGAGCTGGAACATGTTAAAATGGAACTTGCCAAGTACAAGTTAGAAAAGACAGAGTCCAGCCATGAACAATGGCTTTTTAAAAGGCTTCAAGAAGCAGCTAAGTCCGGGCATCTCTCAAGAGAAGTGGATGCATTAAAAGAGAAAATTCATGAGTACATGGCAACAGAGGACCTAATATTGCCACCTCCAGGGAGATCAGCCAGTTCTTCAAAAGAAACTAAATCAACAAGAAAACAGGAACAGAGATTTAGGCCGAGAGATTATAAACCTCACTAAAGAATTAGAACGGTACCAGCATTTTAATAAGAGCCACCAGCCCAGTCTCAATGGAAGAAGAATTTCTGACCCTCAAGTATTTTTTAAAGAAGTCCAAACAGAAGCAGTAGATAATGAACCACCAGACTACAAGAGTCTCATTCCTCTGGAACGAACGGTCATCAATGGTCAGTTGTATGAGGAGAGTGAGGACCAGAATGAGGACCCTAATGAGGAATCTGTACTGTCCTTCAGATGCAACCCATCCAGTCCCCTTCCTGTAAACAGGAAGCTATGGATTTCTTGGATGAAATCTAAGGAGGCCCTCCTCAGAGTGAAAAAAATACAAACTAAACCCAATGGCAACTTTGTGCAACCTGGAGATCTAGTCCTAAGCCATTCATCTGGGCAGCCACTTCATATAAAGGTTACTCCAGACCATGTCCAAAACACGGCTACTCTTGAAATCACGAGTCCTTCCACAGAGAGTCCACACTGTTACACAAGTACTGCAGTGATTCCAAACTGTGGCATCCCAAAGCAAAGGATAGCTATTCTCCAGAATGCTTCCATAACACCAATGAAGTCCAGAACTTCTACTGAAGGCCTCATGAATTTAGAGCAAAGCGTGTCCTCAGATACCATGGGAACCTTTGCAAGAGCACAGACCCTAGAGTCTTGTGATTCTATAATTCCAGAAAGGTCAGTGTCACCCATTCAGGTTTTGGCTGTGACTGGTTCAACTAGTTCCCCTGAGCAGGGATGCTCCCCAGAGCCAATAGGAATCAGTGCCAAGCACGCAATTTTCAGAGTCTCCCCAGACCGACAGTCATGGCAGTTTTCAGTGTTCAAACAGTAATACTTCAAGTGTGATAACTACTGAGGATAATAAAATCCGCATTCACTTAGGAAGTCCTTACATGCAGGCTGTGGCTAGCCCTGTGAGACTTGCCAGTCCATCAAAACCACTGCAGGATAACAGAACTCAGGGCATAACTAATGGGGCACTAAACAAAACAACCAATAAAGTCACCAGTAGTATTACTATCACACCAACAGCCACAACTCTTCCTCGACAATCACAAATTACAGTAAGTAATATATATATAACTGACCACCCTCACCCTCATCTGGTCCATACTGATATTCTTGCAAGGAACTCAGTATTTTTTTAGTCATCCCTCCACATCCCCCAAAATACAGACTGAACTTGTACTTTGCGAAGGCTTGTGCATGAATTACTCAAGAGTATCTTAAACTAAGTATTGCCTGCATTGTCATATCAAGTGTGCACTTACTGTATGTCTTTATTTGCATACCTGTATGGAAAATAAATATTTAGTCTGCACTTCTATAAATACATCTTCATGTATTTCATTTTCCATAACTCACTTTAATTTGACTGTAACTTGTCTTGGTGAAAAACATTAACATTATAAAGCAGTAAATTGTTATTTTTACCATTGCTTGCTGACTTAACTTTGGTCATTTTGTGTTATATATTTGCATGTCCAATATAATTTTATCTCCTAAAAAAATAATAATGATAACCAATTGCTGACATTCAGTTCTTACCCTTTGTTAGCTTTTCTGAATTACATTTTATTCTCATAAAAAAACCACATAAGGCAATAATAATGATAGAAATTGTGTCTGCTTATGTACTGTGCATTATTGAAAGCATTTTTCATTTAATCCATTCAATAGTGCTATAAGTAGGTAAGGTCTACCATCCACATTTGTTTTGTTGTTATTGTTTTATGGCTCTAGAGATAGAACGCAGGGATCAGGGCCTAGCACATACTAGGCCACTGCTCTGCCACTATACCCCCAGCCCTACCTTCCACAGTTCAGCTACAATGAGCTGACCCTTAGATAAAGTAACTTGTCAAGTGGCATGCTTTATGAGCAGTGTGTAGCTTGCATAACTAAAATGTTTTTAAGAGCATGCTGGTTTCAAGGTGACCAACTCCAGGAACTCAAACTTAAATTAGGGTTTGAGTTTCTTTCTGTTTTTGTGTCCAGTTCTCTACCACTGACTCTGGTGGTTTCTTTGTTAAGTATCACTATAAAGAAGACATTCTCGTATGGTGGCCAATAGACTAACAATAGTTTATCAGCCAGAAGAACTGTTTGTCTTGGTAACAAATTAATCTTGAATGTTGAGTTTTATTGGGCTGAGGTTTTATATGCATCTCGAAACCCAATCTCTGAAGTAAGGCAGATGCAAAATGCATAGATTGGCTCTGTGTTGATGGTATCCAGGCCTGAGACATGTGCCCTTCCCCAGAGTTACCCCAGAGTTTTTCAACCTTGGCTCAGTTGACACTATAGCCATTTTTCTGTTGTGAGAGGCGATTCTGTGCTTTGTAAGCTATTTAGCAGTATCTTCCTTAGCCTCTATGTGGTAGATGCCAGAAGTTTCATTCATCCCTATTCATGACAAACTTTGTCAGGTGTCCCCTTGGGGTCAAAATCACCTCTGATTGAAATTCACTGAGTGGCTTCCACCTAAATCTCATGGACTTTGAATGGTCACACGAATACAGAGAGAATGGGTGCTAGCAATAGCAAAAGTGATAAGGGTCCATTTAAACACATGGATATGTACATAAACTTTGTTACCTTGGTACTCTATTTCTATTATTGACTTCATTATATATTGTTTATATGTATATGAGGACAGACGGCTATCTTAGCTTTTCTATCTTAGTCTTTGAACTGGTTATTACCTGTTGAACAGGTACTCTATAAATGCTTGTTGCATTGAAAGAATTGACACTGGTGGTGAACCTACAGCACATGTGCTACAGGGGGCTGTTTGTATCATTGAAAACTCTAAAAGGTTTGCCGTCACTGGACTAGGAGATTATACTCTTATATCTCTGTGCTGTCCAGTATGGTAGTCATTAACACATTTCACTACTTAAATGTAATTAATTACAATTAAATTGAAAATCCACTTTCTTCCTATACTAACCACATTGCTACTGCTCAGTATCCATCTACTTACGGTTCATGGCAACCATACTGAATATGGTAGATGAAAAACATCATCACTGAAAATTCTGTTGAACTGTGTTGTAGATAATTTAAAAGAGAAGATTATAAAGTCTTAGATGTGGAGAGATCTGAGAATAGAAACACTTGTTCTAGTATTGTTCCTAAGAGAACTAAGTTACAAAGAGGCAATACTAGATAGAATCTTTCTCACGGAAGGTTTCATGTTATGTTTGGATCTTCAGCAGGCAAACAACTCTAGCTGTTAAAAGTTGTGTTGGGAATTAAAATCTGCCTTATAATTTAGTTTTGACCTCAGGAACAAGGTAGTATAAGTGTATTTGTCATTAGATCTCTTCCAAGTCCATGATTTCATAATCTTATCTGTCTGTAGTATGAGACAGCATCATATATTTGATAACATTTGTCATATTTTCTTTTAGCTTGAACTCTTCCAAAATAAATAACCCAAGACTTTTTTTTAAATAGATTCTTATATATTCTGTATGATTTGGCTGAAAAAACTAGATTTATTTGCTTTTAAGTTGAGGGAAGTCCTATTGAAATATGAATAGAAAATTGGAGCAGAAACAATGTTTTAAATTTTCTTGTAAAAGAATCACTTTAGAGATTGAAAAATAAGAACAAAGGAAAAACATTATTAGTGGGAGAGCTACAAGAAGATAATTTTAAAAGATATAAATGACCTAGGAAATAAAGATGAACATGTAGTTCAGGAAAATCCCTAGGGTAGGAATATAAGCTACTAGTCAGCCAATTTTAAACTAAATTTAATGCTTTTTAAATCTTTTTTGTTGTTGGTGGTGGTTCTTTGTTGTTTTGTTTGTTTGTTTTTTTTTTAGATTGAAGAAATGCTTGAAAATGCTGAACGAGAACGTTTGGGAAATTCTCAACAGCCAGAGAAGCCTCTTCTACGATTGCGAGTAAGTCCTGCTTATGTAAAATAAAAATATATTAATTTTCAAAATAGTAATGTAAAGTTTATGTGGATTATTTGAAAAGTAGTAAGGCAATTGATTATAGTAATAAGAGTATCACCATTGGAGACAAAAATAATATACCTGTAAGGATTTGATTTAATCACAGTTTAATTTTGATATTCATATTTCTATCATTTTCTAAATAATTTGTTGTTATATATAATAGATTGCCTGAGGCCTCTAACTGCCATCTTTATTCTCCCTTACCACTCCACTCTGGGCAGCTTGCCCTTCTTGTAGTTTCTTTTTTTGGTGTCGGGGATCGAACTCGGAGCTTGCGCTTGCAAGGCAGGTGCCGGAACCACTGAGCTAAATCCTTGGCCCCTTCTTGCAATTTCTTAAACACATCAGACACAATCGTAGCTCTCCAAGGTTCTGCTCAGATACTACCTCACTGAGGCCCGTGAAGGTCACAGGCTCAGTCCTTCCCCTCAGTTCTGCTGGTGTCACTTACCTTCTCCTTTTTCTTTTTCATAACAAGTTCTCCTAACCTACCATATGCGATTTATTTATTTAAGTTATTGTTTGAATTGTTTCCTGTGCCTACAAACCCACTTATTTTTCCCCTTGTGAAAAAATTAGTAATAACATCATTTATTTGCTGCTGTGCTTTTTCCTTTTCCTACTGCTACTCTGTCTTTCTCATTCTCTTGGTTTGATTCTGATCCTACCACTAATTGTATGACCTTGAGCAACTTTTCCATTAGTTTATACTTTTAAAATTTTTGAGGTACAAATGAATTCATGTTTGGTGCATAGGAAGTAATCTAGTCCCTTTGTCCCTCCTACTGCCATTGCTGCAGCTGAGCCCTTGTCATTTACTGGACTGTAGCTAGCTGTGGCTTTCTCCTAGAATTTGCTCCAGTTCCCCCCTCACCTCACCAGTTGCTTTTCCTCCACATTAATGCTGAAGTGTTTGTAAAACACAATCTTGGGTGTCTTTTCTGCTGTGATTTCTCAGTGGTTTCTGAGCATTAATAAAAACAAATCAAAACTTTTTAGGATGACATTGCCACTTATAGGATCTGGTCTACACCACTCCCTTATCTTAACTTTCTTCCTCCTAAGTACACCTACACTTCAGTCATAATGGACTAAACTTCCTCATCCCTGTGCCAGGTGGAATTATTTCATTTGAACGTTTTCCATGCTGCCCCTGCAGTATGCCATGCACTTCCTCTTTGCTTTGTATCTCCTTCAGCACCCTCTTAAAACCTTCCTCCCAAAGAAGCCTTTCTGGGCCTCCTACAGAGTTAGTGCTTCTCTTTCATGTCCCCATTCTACTCTGCGTGTACCTCTTACTGCACCTTTCACGCTCTGCTTGCAGTTACTTATTTACATTTGTCTTTGTGGTTAGCGTGTGAATTTTTGAAAATCTGTGTTGTATACTATTTATGGTTATATCCCTAACCCTTAGCAGAGTGCCTAGAATGTTGAAGACACCCAATACAGTTTGCTTAATGAGTGAGTTTTGTAACTCTTGGGAGCAGAAATTACAGATGAAACTAGGCTATAGTAAGTAGTCGGGCATTTTGGAAAGACCCACTAGCTTTAGCATTTAGTATTTTCTCCTTTACAGCATGGCAGCTGTGGAGATGGTCTGGATGATACAAAGATGGTTATTTTAGGGAAACCACATGGTCTTCTTTATTGGGACAAAGATCCCATGTTTCTCATCCATGTCTGCCTGATTCTATTAGAACTGACCAAACAGATAGCAAGTTGGCATTCTTTTTCCTAAACACAGTAAATCATTCATTCATTCATGAAACAAAAGAACAGATGTCTGTCATGTAAATAATATTATAATAATGCCATGTAAAAACTAGGGGATCCTAATTAAGTCATTCACTGAACAGATTTTACTGAGTACCTTCTGTTAATGGATGTCGGGGGATGTAGTGATGATCTAACACAGATAAATTTTTGAACTTGCTAAACTCATAAGCTGGGGAGTGAGGAGAAGTATATGATAAACAACTGTCAGATAAATGAATAGAATAGAGAGAAAGCTTAGCAGATGGTGCCAGGTGTGACATAGAGTGTGAGTAGGGTAGAGTCAAGGTAGCGAGTCCTCTGCATAAGCTGATACCGTGCTGGTCTCAGAGCATGCTTTGAGATCAGCTAGTGTAGGAAAATGATTGTCTCTCCTTGAAGGAAAGGTGGTATTTCTCTTTGGAAAAGTCTGCCTACCACTAGAGACTTATTTAGGAAGAGCCTGCCTTGAGTGAGATTGTTAGTTCCAACAGGATACTGTGTTTCAAAGATAATTGTTCCAAACTTCCAGACGTGATTCTTTCCTACCTGAACTCTCCTAGCATTTGTTCTTGTCCGGTGTGAAGACACAGCCCTGGGACAATACACCAGTGAACATTGGTTCTTCTTAAGTCTGGCGTTGCGTTTTATTAGGGTTTATCATCTTGTTTTGAAAGTTTGGAAGTTTGTTTAGAAACTCCACCTCCTTTCAGATGGTATTCCTGGTAGGTACCTAGACTATTATTATTGTCATAGGACATGAAATCATTCTAATATTCTGGAAATTCTTGCTGTGATTTGATTCCTTTGAACAAAATATTTTGCTTTAGTTTATAAACTTTCCAGACATTGTTTTCTCAATATGATAAATGATACATCACCATGATCCTTAAAATGTATGGTAGAAAATTAATTCATAAATTTAAAAGTATTGAACATAAAAACTATAAATACCAAAGAATGAATGTATTTTTCAAAAATTGGCAGTTGTTGTTTCCTAGTCTTCATAGGTTATTCTGTATTTTCAGGTGGACTATAGTGGAGGCTTTGAACCTTTCAACATTCATCGTTTTAGCCAGAAATTTGTGGATCGGGTAGCTAATCCAAAAGATATTATCCATTTTTTCAGGCATAGAGAACAAAAGGAAAAAACAGGTAAGCTAGTGATTTTTATACGTTAATGAATCCTCTTACATGCTTTGTATAAATCAGTCTTTGGTAAAAGAAATATTAGATAATAGAAAATGTTTTAGTATATTGTAATATAGATAAAAATGATAGTTGGAATAATTAAATCTTTTGTCTTCTAAAAATTAGCATGCTGTCATTTTTTAAACTTGTGGATATAAATGAAGAACTGGTTATACTGGGGTTTTTTTGGTACCTGGGATCAAACTCAGGACCTTGTGCTTGAGAGGCAGGTGCGGTGCCACTGAGCCAAATCCCTGGCCCTATAAATGAAGAAATGGAAGACTTTCTCTGTAAACTTGTCTTTTTAAAACAGTGCTGCTGGCTAATAACACACAGATTACTATATGTCATTAATGTTCAGAGAATGTACTCTTAAATTTTGCATTATTAAGTATTTTGAGAGTGTACAATGGTTTAAGAAGGCTTTTGAAGTAAGAAGTTTTCTGTAGCCTGATATTTCTGATGATCCAGGTAATTAATTTCCAATTAAAATTTTTGTAAGAATTGACCTTTTCTAACATTTGTAAAACAAGATCATTGAATGAAATAGTCATTTTTTTCATAAGAAATATCAATTATGTTAAATATAGAGGCTCTTGTTCTTAGGCTATTAAATAAGAGAATTTTCATAGAAACACATGGCTGTTGTTTACAAGTAAGTCATGCTGGTTTTATTAGCCCAGATTTAATTATTTGTTTCTTGCTAATGGTCTTCTTTCATTGTGTACCCCTTTGAATTCCTTGAAACATCTTGAGTGTAGTATTCGTAAGAGAGCTATACTCAATAGGCCGAGTCAGGAGGTTTGCAAGTTCTAGGTCAGTCTGGGCAATATAGCAAGACTGTCTCAAAAAAAGGAAAAGAAAAGTAACTATGGAGGATGTAGTTCATTGATTCAGTGCTTCCCTAGCAGGCACTGGACCCTGAATTCAATCCCTAGTACCAATAGAAAAGAAAACTACAGTATATACTTCCTTCTTTAGTTTTCTTGCTAGTGAGTTTCCTTCTAGCAATTCTTTTTTTATTTCAGCTTGCATGGCTCAGTGGAAATAGTGTCACTTTTGTATGTCTTACTGGAAGCATTTTCTGTTGTTTTGGCCAACTCTGCCACTTAACTACATGTGCAGAGCTGTGCACATTAATAACCTCTGCTGTTAGCATTATTATCTATAAACTAAGAATAACTGTGCTGGCCTCAGGATTGTTGTGAGGCTTAGATGATGCACTGTTAATGTCTTGACAGTGTCTGGCAAAGTAAAAAAGTACTTATATTTATGAAGTAATACTAACTGTCCTGTTTGAAATTCACGTAAGATTTTTGTTCATTTGGCAAGAGACACTGAACTGTTTGCCTTTTTACCTTCTAGGCCTTTGTACATACTTTTCCTGCTGGAAGTGTTTTTCCCCCTCTTTTGCTTGGTGAATCTTATTCATTTTGCAATTCTTGACTCACTTGATAGCTGTATTTGATATCTGGATGTGATGTTCAGCCTTCTTGGAGAATAATTGCTTTCTTTTCTGTGTGTCCTATCCTCTGCACTTACCATCTTATGTTGTCCTCATTTGCTCTCATGGGCAGGGAACCTGTCTTTTTGTTGTTGTTGTTGTTGTTGTTACTAGGGATTGAACTTAGGACCTTGCACTTGCGAGGCAGGCGGTGGAACCACTGAGCTAAATCCCCAGCCCGGAACCTGTCTTTTTTAATGATGTACTTTTTGTTTGTTTTTTAAAGACAAGCTCTCACTATGTAGTGCAGGCTGGCCTCAAACTCATAGCAATCCTTCTGCCTCAGTCTCCTGAGTGCTGGGATTACAGGAGTGTGACACCATGCCCAGCCTCATCATTGTGTTTTTAATACCAGATTGCCATACCTACTAGACACTTAACATCCATTTACCACCCAAGGAACCTCAGCAGAGCAAATCCTAGATCTGATGTTCCCTGATTTTTTCTGGTGTGGTATTGTTTTTGTTCCATCCCTGGTTTTTTGAGGGGACAATCATCCTGTTTAGGAATGCAGCAAAAGTGCTTTAAGCATATTTCCTTTGTCTTAAAGAGTGTTGAAAAACTGTGTACTCAAGTGCCGAGATCTAATTGACAGATCTAATATGCTGTCTCTTGCTTCTTTGGGGACATTCTTAAGTAAACTGGCTTGTTGACAGTTTTGAGCTGTGACTACATGGTGGAGACTTCTGTAAAGCTCTGAGCCACCACCTTAATTCAACCCAAGGCATTGGCAGTTTTACTCCCAGTTGCTTTTGTATCCTTGGTGCAAATGTCCATACAATGGAAAAGGCAAAACCATTTTAGTAGTATCATGAAAGTTGTTTTGATTTGTATTAGTGGTTTGCAAGGGAATAGATTTAATACAGGAGAGATAATTTATAGGATTATTTTATAATATTCACTCAAAAAGTCAAATGCAGAAGAATACAAGAGGTCTGTCCACATGCTGGAGACGTGAAGAATGCAGCCAAGGCCTGGATCCCACAGCAGTGTCCCACAAGAGTCCAGCCATTGGCCTAGAGCCCATGGCAATGTTTCATGCAAGTCCATATGGAGGATCTGCACCGGAAAGGCCCAAAGGCCAGTGGTGAAAGCTAGAACGTCTGCACCGGTGGGTGAAGGGTCTGTGCCACCAGGCTGAGGGATCTACACTTGAAACAATGCTCAAAGAGAAGACCAGAGCTCCTCCGAAGATATCAGCAGACATCCCCAGCCACAGCGAGAACCCGAGCTCCTCCTCTGACAACGAAGACAGCAAGCTTGTATCAGGAAAACCAGCCTTAGCAAGCTTCTCCAGGAAAATCAACAGCGTGCAATCATCTCCTTCCATTTTCCTTTTATGCCATTCCAACAATCATCAGGTAGATCTTCCACACCCAGAGCTACGCTGACTCAGTTCAGCTGGGCATTCCCACTCAAGTTGACCATCAATTAGCCCACCACAGGCATAGTCCCTGAAAATGCCATGGGGACCCTCAATGGTCTAAGGACCACCTTATGAAAACAGCTACAAGAGACACTCTCCCTGAAGCGTGGAAAGGGAGTACTGTCAGCAAGAGAGAGTAGCTCTTAGCAAAGATGTCTGAAAGTACTGTGTTGAGCAAGCCCGCAGCTGGTGGATGGCCATTCCTCCAGTGACAGCAAACTGCAGTGAGCTTGCCTGTTTTAATATAATAGATGTTGCTTTTTTTTTTTAAATAAACTTTTTTTTTCTAGGAGAAGAGATCAACTTTGGGAAGCTTATCACAAAACCTTCAGAAGGAACAACTCTTAGGGTAGAAGACCTTGTAAAACAATATTTTCAAACTGCAGAGAAGGTAATATCTTATAGTTTTCATTTTGAATAATGGTTATGTTATGATAATAGATTCTGTTTTAGAGGATGAATAATTGTTAACTTAAAATGAATCAATCAGTGTTTCTATGAAGTAAGTAGGGTGACATTTAGTTACATTCATTTGTAGTATTGTACATCAACAAAAATTAGGCTAGGTGTAGTGGCATGGGCCTGTAATCCCAGTATATAGGAGCTGAGGCAGGATTGCTGAGAATTCAAGGCCAGTCTGGGCTACATAGTAGGCTCAAGACCAGCCTGAACTACTACATAGTGAGACCCTGTCTCAAAAACCCCAAATAATAATACTATAATAATGACAAATTGGTGCTCAGTTAATGTTGTTGGTGTTGTCAGTATTATTAGTGTGACTTATTGTTGTTGGCCTCTTTTTTTATCTCTACTTAAAAGTCTAAATAGAATTTGATTATTTGAATGTAACTTCAGAAATACTTTGCAAATACAGCCACATATTGTGAAGCTACTCAAACTATCAAGAGTATATGGCATTCTTAAGTTTCTCTGGGTGTACTTATTTAAAGCAACACAGATACCTTGCAGTTCTTTTGGTTAGGAATCTGTATGTCTCACTGGACTGAAAATCAAAGTGTCAGTGCAGCTGTGTTCATTTCTGGAAACCCTACAGGAGAATCCATTTCATTACCTTTTCCAATCTCTAATAGCTCCTGCATTTCTTGCCTCTTGGTCCCCCTTGTCCATCTTCAAAGCCAGCAGTGTTACATCTGTGACCATTTTCCCACTTACATTTTTCTCCAGCTCCCTCCTTCTGCCTCGCTCTTTCCCTTTGGTTGATTTACCTGGAGTGTCCCTGTACTGTATTTTACAGTCAGCTGACAAGAAGCCTTAATCCTATCTGTAACTTTAAGTCCCTTTCACTATGTGACCTATTCATAGGTCCCAGGGATTAAGGCGTGGATGTCTTTAGGGGAAATTATCTTGCCCACCAAGATAATGGATTAACCTGAACTCTAATCAGCAGCAGCCATTTCTAGACTGTAAATTCCAGCTGTTGAGTTCTTGCATCATTACCTGTTCTGAACTCTTCTCCCTTTTCTTGGTTTAACTTTGCTTTTTCTGGTCCTTAATTTTTATCAGTAGGCTTACCTGTCTATAGGGAATGGGAAAGGGGATGTTACCAGGACCTCTGCCATGGGTCCTGGCCTGTGAGGCCAGGACAAGGTGAATTAAAGAACAGACAGGAAATGAGACTTAGAGTGGAGAAGCTGAGTCTTGGGTCCTGATCAGTGATGGGTCCTGATGGCAGCAAAGACAAAGGCCCCCAAGTGCATCCAGTTTTTATTGAACACAGTCATGCTAAGGGATAGGGAGCTGGGTATGCTTAGAAGGCATCTAGTGAAATACTGCCGAACACCTGGCATAGTGCCAGGCAGGGCTGTTAGGGAGTAAGCACTGCTTATCTTGCTTGGATAGAATAAACCGGTACTGGGACTGGGTACAATTAGCCGTAATTGAGGGGAAAGGATTTTAATTGGGGTCACACTGACCTCAACTGCACATAATTCAGCAGAGCCCTGTGACTTCACAGATCAGGACTTAAGCCTCGGTGACACCTATTAGCAAAGGAGCAATACTAGCCCGACTCTGCTACCTGACATGCCCATTTGAGTCACGTAAGGCCTGGGTCTGACTCCTGATGTAAGACAATATAGCTGAATTGAGGGAGGCAAGAAACAGGTGCCATTCATAGCCCGCTAGTACTGGGCAGGGATGTCTGGTACAACTGTCTAGCAATTTGGGTCCCCACTTACATAACTGGTTAATTCTGTATCTTTTTCCCTGATAACTTTATCCTGTAATTTGCCTTGCTTTTAGGTAGTTATTGTATAAGGAGTAGATACTATTTCTGCATCTGGTGGTATGCATCTCTTTTACAGAATGTTCAGCTCTCACTGCTAACAGAAAGAGGGATGGGTGAAGCAGTACAAGAATTTGTAGATAAGGAAGAAAAAGATGCCATTGAGGAATTAGTGAAATATCAATTGGAGAAAACACAGAGATTTCTTAAAGAACGTCATATCGATGCCTTAGAAGATAAAATTGATGAAGAGGTGAGTAGGTCTGTTTTGGTTTGTTTTTTTTTTGGTACCAGGGATCGAACTTGGGTCCTTGTGCTTGCGAGGTAGGTGGCAGAACCACTGAGCTAAATCCCCAGCCCAGGTCTGTTTTGGACAGTCTGTTCATGAGAGTAGCTCTGAAACCACCCTCCCACACTGTTATTTAACCTCTCTGATTTGTCCTTCCTTATCTATAAAAATGAGGGTTAAATTAGAAAATAGCTAGAAAGTAGCTACAACAGAGTCTTACATATAGTTACTTTCCTATCTCTGAGACACAGTACCCAACATCCACAACTTAAAGAAGAAAGGTTTAATTTGGATCACAGTTTCAGAGAATTCAGTCCACAGTTGGCTGGCTCCAAGGCAGAAACATCATGGCAGAAGAGTGTGGTGGAGCAAAAATGCTTAGTTTCTGGTATCCAGGAAGCAGAGCACCTGTTGCAAAGATTCACAGCTGCAGATATTTGAAAGGATGTATAAGACTCCTGGGAACGTAGTCACTTAAAGATTTTATTTTAAGGTAAAGGATAAGAAGAGTACAGTAAGAAGACTACAGGCAGGCATTGGGATCTGTGGCTTAAGCTTCCCAACTCTGTACTTGCATACAGTGGTTCAGGTATTGAACACCAGGATCTGTACAGAAATTCCTAGGGAGTCCTTTTGTGGCCTCTGTCCACATAATCATAGTCATGCAAGTTGAAACCATCAGGAAACAGACTGACCCTGAAGATTCCAGAGACTTCTCAGGGATCAACTGTAAATTAACATGATTCTTTTTGCCTTGTAAAATATAACTTTAATTTTGTCACTGACTATCCTCCCTCCCAGATACTCACTAGATTGTAAGCTCTGTGAGGGCAGAGTTTTTACTACTTTCAGATTTGCATTTCTGATATTAGTGGCTTGTACATATTAGGTGCTGGATAGATTATTGAATAAATTACTTAGATATTAAATAACTGTGTAACTGCATTGTCAGAGCCTTCTGAGCAGGAAACACTATAAAAGAAGTCTGGGGTATTCCTCTTGGTTCCAGGGTCATGCTTAGCCAATGTTCAGTAGTTGACTTTTGATAAAGTAGATCTTTAGTGGCTCTCTCACTTTAGATACCATTTTAGAGAGCCTCCTAGTTATCTTGAGGCTAGTGTACAAGAGTGATTTGAGCAGTAGAATAAATATTTGAAGCCTCATAGAGGAGAGATACTTATTTTTAACTGTTTTACTGAAGTACAGTGCCCATAAGATGTTAGGATTTTTTTTTTCCTTTGCAGTCTGATGGATTGTTTTTCAGTGGTGTAGAACATTTTGGCAGCAGGTAATGTAATTTTGCTTAGAGCCAATATTTTTGTACAACACATTTCTGGTATTTTAATGTAACTGGAGAACACATAATGTCTTTAGTCATTCTTTTGTGAAACAAACTATAGTTAAATTCCCAAGCTTTATATTATGCCAAAAACCATTTCTTAATCATAGTGTGCGATTTTGTACTTTTTCTATAACTGGGATGACCAACATGTTTGCAATTTCCTCTGTTATGATTTAGGTACGCCGTTTCAGAGAAAGCAGGCAAAAAAATACCAGTGAAGAAGATGATGAAGTTCGAGAGGTAATTTTTCTGCTGTAAATTTCTGCGCTCATTTGATAGTTTGTTAAATTAGAGTAATTAGCATGCTTATATTGAAGTTAATGCACAGTTGTCCTGGATAGCAGCAAGCAGGGGTTGGCTGCGGAAGGCTGCCTTTGATTCATTTCATTTGAGCCTGCAGGTATTCTTATTGTTACTCCTTTTGATTTTGTTCTTGTCTAAAGCGCTTGATAGGAGGACATTTACAAAAATAGCTTTTTTTTTTGGTACCGGGGATCGAACTCAGGACCTTGCACTTGCGAGGCAGGTGTGGTGCCAATGAGCTAAATCCCCAGCCCACAAAAATAGCCTTTTAAAATTAATATCTAGTTGCTATCAGAGCATCTTATCTACATAATATAAACTCTTGCCCTATTGGGGTGGGTAAGTAGATTTTCTTTCCATGCCCATTCTAAAATGTTAAAATTACCTTAGACACCATCATCGCTTGTCTTGTCTATCACTTTGTATGTTAGGAACAAGAAGTTAGGAAGCACTTACTTAAGTTTTGGGCCTCTGTCTTGGCTGAAATATACTTGTTTTCTGATGGTCTCTAGTGTTTTATGGTTGCCATCTAGTATTTAGCAATTGTTATATAAATTATTTAACTCTTAGATTTTTGTCCTGATTGCTTTCAATCAGCAGATATTTTTCATAACTATGGGTTGACAGTCTGCTTTTAATTAGAAATATGAATATGAAAAAGCTATGGTCTGTGTCCACAAGATATTTTCAGTTTTGTAAGTGAAAGACAGTTGTCTAAAGAAAATATTTATTGAATTCTTTTTGATAGATCTTCCTGCCTCAGCCTCCTCTTGAGTGCTGGGATTATAGGCACCTCACAGCTGCCGTTTATAGACTGTTTTTGGAAGTTAAGGGGAAGAAACAATAGAGTAGGGGTCTGTACCACATTTATTACATTTGTATTCATCTTATAAGATGCTCTTAAAATAAAAAAGAATTTGCCAAATGGTAAAAATGCATGCTAGAAAGAAATAGTTCCTGGTTCTTGAATCATCTGGTTTAATCTTGATTAACTCTTTTAATTTAACAGATTACAGAAATTTTGTTTATAGTGGATCCTTTGGGTTTGAAGCCACAGACCTCAATTTAATATTTTATTTTATTTTTTGTTTTGTCTTTGGTACCTGGGATCCACCTCGGGACCTTTCGCTTTTGAGGCAGGTGGCAGCACCACTGAGCTGAATCCCTGGCCCTTTATTAATCTTTTAAAAAGGATAAGAGTAGGGGCTGAGGGTATGACTTAGTGGTAGAGCACTTGCCTAGCATGTGTGACACCCTGGGTTCATTTTCCAGCACTATCAGTAAAAATGATGAACAGATTATATAAAGAAGGTAGGAAAGTGTATGACATATTTCAAATGACTGTCTTTCAGAGCAAAGAATGATGAGTTTAGATTTTTAGCTGGAAGACTTGTAGGTAACCAGGCCTTCCTAGGTATCAGTCTATCTTCTGTTTCTATGACAGAATGCCTGAGACCCGGTAATTTATGAAGAAGAGACATTTATTCAGCTCACATTACTAGAAGCTGTGAAGTCAGACATCTGGGGAGCATCTCTGTTGAGGATCTTTCGTGTTGGGTTATGACATAATAGAGGGTGTCAGATGGTGAAACCCACTCCCTTGACAACCCATTAATTCATTATCCATGAATGGATTAGTACCTTCATGAGGGCAGAACCATCATGACCCAGTAACCTTCAGAAGGTCTCACCTCTCAGTACCATTAACATGACTAAGGGCATTAAGTTTCCGACACAAAATGTGGGGGACACATTCAAGCCATAGCACTGGTAAGTTTTCAACAGGATATAGCATGTTAAAAATTTGTTTAGCCCCAGCATACTACTTAGAACTTGGGTAAAAGAGTTTGATACTTTCCCAAGATATAACTCATATCTCTGTAAAATCATTGTCTTAGTTACTTTTCTCTTGTTGCTGAGAGAAAATACCAGACACCCAAAGTTAAAGGAGGAAAGGTTTATTTAGCTCACAGTTCATAGAGGTTTCAGTCCATAATCGGCTGGCTCCAAGGCAGAGTGGCAGAGGGGCAACAGTATATGGCGATGGAAGACAGCAGCAACAAGAGAGGTAGTGGAAGCAACAAGAGAGATCGTCACAGCCTCTTGCTGCCCCTTTTATCTTATTCAGACTGCTTAGGGCAGGGAGCACTTGGGCCCATAATCTCAGTGCCCTCGGGCCTAGCCCCACGATGAATCAATCACAAACTCTAGATTCAACCACCTCTCAGAAAGCACGAGGCTTTGGGAAGACATCTAGACACAAGTCATAACAATCATTTAGCTCAGAATATGAATTTCAGTACCCTGCTTAAATTATTTAAACAAAAGACAAAATATTTGTCCTTCCATTTAAAAAAAAAATTGTACTTTAAAGGTTTTCACAGAGAAGAAAACTCAACTGTTTTATTATAAGTTCACACTGAATCAAAGGGTCAAACAGTAAATATTAGGTTTTACAGGCTATATAAATCTCTATCACATATACTAGTTTTTTGTTTTGTTTTTCAAAAGTTCTTTAAAAATATAAAGACTGTTAGTCTGATCTGGGGCTCTGAGTTTATGTGGCCTTTTACTATTTATTTTTTAAATTAGAACATGTTTGCAGTACATAACGTTTACATTTCTTGTGTGGAGTTGGTATATGTACATAATACATCTTAATTCTTTTTTCATTCCCTCTTTTCACTTTGTTGGCGATTTCTTTTGCTGAACCAGAAGCTTTTTAATCTGTTAGCTCATGTTGTTGATTCTTGGTACTATCTGCTGTGGAACCAGGGTTCTGTTCAGAAAGTCCTTGCCTATGCCTATGATTTCAAGAGTTTTAACTTTTATATTCCAGCAAGTTGTTTCTGCTTTAGTATTTAGTTCTTTGATCTATTTTGACTATTTTTCTATCTGAATTTGAGGGAGGGTTGATACTCTTTTTTTTTTTGGTACCAAGGATCGAACTTGGGACTTTGTGCTTGTGAGGCAGGTGCCGGAACCACTGAGCTAAATCCCCAGCTAAATACTCTTTTTTTAAAATGTTATGCTAGGCACTATGAGCAGAGTGAAAAGGTAGTCTGCAGAATGGAGAAAATATTTATAAATCATATATCAGATGCCCACAGTGCATTGAAGAGACTTCTAAAACTTAATAAAACTCAATTCAAAAAATGGACATGAATAGGCATTTTTTCACAGATTTACAAATGACCAATCAACAAAGATACTGAACATCACTGATTGGTAGAGAAAAACAAATTGAAACCACAGTGAGATAACACTTCACACCATTTGGATGGCTATTAAACACACAGAAGACAACAAATATTGGCAAGATTATGAAGAAATTGAAACCCATGTACATTGCTACTAGGATTTAAAATAATGTAGCTAATTTGCAGAACAGTATGGTGGTTCCTATGAAAATTGAACACAGAATTACCATGAATCTTGTATTTCCCCGTATAAATATATAACCAAAAGAATAGAAAGCAAGGATTTTCAGTAGATACTTATACATCAGTGTTCATAGCAGCATGATTCACAGTAGCCAAAAGATTGAAACAACCTGAATGTCTGTGAACAAATGAGTGGATAAACAAAATATAGTGTCTGCTTCCAAGGGAATAAATGTTAGTACGTCTTTAAAAAGAACAAAATTGTAGGCCCGGGATTTAGCTCAGTGGTTCTGCCGCCACCTGGTTCTGCTGCCACCTGCTTTGCAAGTGCAAGGTCCAGAGCTCGATCCCTGGTACCAAAAAAAAAAAAATTTCAAATACATGCTACAACAGATCAAACTTCAAAACATTATGCTGAGTGGATGCAGACAGTCAAATATTACATGATTTCTTCCGTTTACATGAGGTGCTTAGGCTACTCATTCAGACAGAAAGAGTAGTGTTACCAGAACCTGGGGAAGTGAGGAACGGGAAGTTATTGTTGAATAAGTATAGAGTTTAAGTGTGGGATAATGAAAGCGTCTTAGCGATCAGTAAACTCCAAAATCTGTTGTATAGAAAAGATAGATTAAATGATATTTGAATGCAATGATTGAAATGGTAAAAATAAAGATACATTATTTGGACCCAGAGAAAACTGTTAAATTTGGAAATAATGGTAATTCATTCCAAGAAATAGAAAGCATAATAAGACATATGAATTTTTAAATTTTATCAGATACTGCCTCATTGCTCCAAAGATATCATACCAATTTTTAACTAACATTTGACAGCACTTATTTCCCCAGAATCTTGCCTTCATAATGTATTACTGCATTTTTTGATCTTTAGGAATCCAAGAGATAAGATTATTTTTCATTGCTGCTTTTAATTTGTACTTCCTTCTTAAACTAGTGAATCTGAACAGTTCTTATGTTTATAAGTCATTTAAATGAAACATTGTTCACCTCTTTGGCCCCCTTCCTTTAATAGAGGGTAGTCTTTACCTAATTGATTTGTAGAGACACTCACTTAAACACACTTGTGTTCTGTCTTCATTGTACAGATATTGCTATAGCATGTTTAGGGTTTTTGCCATGTAGAGGAAGCATTCACCCATTCCTGAAGTTTATTTAAATGAGGAATGGCTGAAAAGTTAAGTGCCTTTTTTGGCATCTCAGCAGATTAATGTGGATTTTTCTCCCTTTTTTAATATAATGAATTTAATAATATCTATCCTATTACTGACTCATCCTGTATCACTTTGTAAACTCCCTGGTAATGACATAGTCATCTTCCATATGCTCCTGTATTCTCTTCGTTGTTATCATATTGGTAAGATGCTGTAATTTTCTTTTAGTGCAGGCAGCTTTGTCAGTACCATGTCATGCTAGCTTCTCAAGCATTTGAAAGCTTTCCTTCTTTGGGCTGTGGCATTGTTAAATAGTAGTGAATGATTTGTTCTTTGAAAATGTAAAATTTACCTGTGAAACTTGCTGGTTGTGGTCTTTTTTGGGAGGGTGTCATTCTGTTAACATTTTCCTCAATTTTTTCTTTTGTAATTAGCCTGTTAATGTTATCTGTATTTTCTTGGATCCATTTAAGTTGTTCTTTTTTTTTTGGTACTGGGAATTGAACTAGGGACCTTGTGCTTGTGAGCCAGGCAGGCGGCCACACCACTGAGCTAAATCCCTGGCCCTAAGTTCTTCATTTTTTAAGTTACATAGATTACAAGTCTTATTTTTCCTTTTTGAATACTGAGTTAACTTAACCCACCCCTCCCAGAATACACTTCACTCCCACTTCTACTCTGCCTGCCCTGTTCCTCCATCTCCTCATTTAGCTCTACCTCTCTTTGCTTTATGGTATCACAGACCTTAGAAATGCTCTGGTCATCTAGGTTAAGACCTAAAATGAGTCTTTCCTAGCAAGAAACGGCATTGTATGGTATCTTGGAATGTATGCATGAATGTGGAGACCTCTAACCTTCCTAACTCTCCTTAGTTTTCCTTCCAAGCTAGGTCAAATATTCATCATATTCATTTACTGTTCTTCATTGATTGTGTGTTTGGGAGTTGGAACTATTTCTAGTATTATTAAAAATGTGTTTTAAGTGTGCTTATCCTTGTTACGTTTTGATTGTTTTAAGTAGAGGAATCAAGGAAGAATTGCTTTTATTCTACTGTTAATGAGTTAGAATATTTGATTGTCTCAAACTTCTTTTTTCCAGATTTTTAAAAAATAAAATTAAAAAGTTATATATTCTTGGGCTGGGGATTTAGCTCAGTGGTTTCATCGCCTGCTGTGCAAGCGCAAGGACCCGAGTTCGATCCCCGGTACCAAAAAAAAGTTATATATTCTTAGTTCTAAGAGTTATTATTTCTCAGGCCTTCAGTTCTTTTTATGTAAGTATATATATTTGTAAGAGATGGTTCATGTTTTTTCTAGTTATATAAAAATGTTTTAAAAAGGTGTACTGTATAAAATTTATAATATTCAAGAATCATAAAGGAAACAAAAGCACCTTAGAATTTCACCACCCAGAGATAACAGCTGTTGTTTCTAAGTTGTCTTGTTTATTAAGAGCCCATTCTAAAAAGTAGCTCAAATACTGATAGTGTCTTAGAAATGTGGTATTCAATTAAGGATGATTGTCAATATTCCCACCAGTTCTGAAAATTTTGATCCTGTCAAATTCAGTTTTGTTGATAACCCTTTCCTTTTTTTTTTTGGAACTGGGGATCGAACTCAGGTCCTTTTGCTTGCAAGGCAGGCAGCAGAACTACTGAGCTAAATCCCTGTCCCTGTTGGTAAACCTTTTAAAAAGGTGTTGTTTTACAGGTAGTATTGTAAATTGATCTGACATATAATTGAATATGATTGGTAGGGTAATTCTCCTTTATATTTTTGTAGTGTGATTAGTGAAAAATAATGATGTAGGTGGTTTGACAATGTTAAATGTTTATCTGAATGGCTAAATTAACTGTTAGGGTACTGCATTATTCACTAATGAGTGCTTTACCCCAACCCCGTGTACAGGCTATGAGTAGGGCCCGAGCGCTCAGATCCCAGTCAGAGGACTCTGCTTCTGCCTTCAGTGCTGATGACCTCATGAGTATGGATCTTGCGGAACAGATGGCAAATGACTCTGATGACAGCATCTCCACAGCACCCAGCAGAGGGAGGGGGCGAGGCCGAGGGCAAAGAGGAGGCAGAGGGCAGAACTTGGCCCCCCGAGGAGGCTCTCAGAGAGGCAGAGGTTAGCACTGACTGCTGTCTTGCATACTTCTCACTTGAAAGTTGAGTGGGAAATGAAGAATTGCATCTTGTAATCAGAATTGAATTGTGAAGTTTGGTTTCTAAGACACAGTTGTTTAAAAATTTATTTTTATACTGTACGAAGTCTTTAATACCGTTCTAACATGTACCTTGACTTAAATGAATTTTGAATGGCCACTTGCAACATAGAGTTTTAATTGTTCATAACCTATGTTTTAAATGTTTCATTGTGTTTCTCTTATAGTAGTACTTTTCTAGTCATACTTTCACATGTATAAAATAATAATAGATAAATATGAATTGTTTTTCTTTCTTTTTTTTTTTTTGTGGTGCCAGGGATCGAACCCATGGCCTCATCCACTCTGATCAAGTGCACTACCACTGAGCTACACCTCTAGCCAGTTGTTAAGAAAAATGTCTAGCTAATATCCTCTCCAGATCATAACAGTGATTCTTACTGCTTTCGTAAGAAAATACATGCTTGTAAAATGGTCTCCATAAAATTTGTTTAAAAGGAAAACTACCTGAAAACAATTTCATTTCTAAAGGCAATCATTAGCCTTAATCATCATCACTGTATTTAATGTGATGAACAATAGAAAATGGACAGTTGCTTCCTGATGTACATTATAAATTTTTAATTGTTTTCATAAAATCCATATGAATTTTTTTTTTTGGTACCGGGGATTGAACTTGGGATCTTACGCTTTGAGGCCAGCGGCAGCCCCACTGAGCTAAATCCCTGGCCCAAATCCATTTGAATTTTAAGGTGGTAAAATGAATAGTAATTTAGTTTAAAATCTCCAGGGAAAGAAATTTCCATTTTCTAATGATGATTATTTTCTTTATCCTTACATTCACAAAATTTTTCCTTAAATTTTAATTGGACAAATGTGAATCAAGATGTAGCCTAAAAGAATAGCCTCTGAAAATCGACCAGACTCTAGATGTTCTTCTTATAAATGCCTTTGGATTTTTATGAACTGTTTTGACATAACTTTATCTAGCTCTCGCCTTGTTTAGGTGCTATTAAAAAAGTCCCTAGAGGGCGGGGGATTTAGCTCAGTGGTTCCACTGCCTGCCTTGAAAGCGGAAAGACCCAAGTTTGATCCCCGGTACCAAAAAAAAAAAGTCCCTAGAGATTGTATATTAACTGCTTGTTTTTCTTCTAGCAGGCACTGGCCTGAATACCTTTACTCGAAGCAGGAGCTCAAGGACCACTGTGTCAACATCCAGAAATATGTCTATCTTAGATGGTGAGTACAAGCTGCAGACTATTATCTAGCCATTATTTATAAATTCCAACATAAGAAGACTGAAGAAATCTCCATTTGTATCCCTCATTTATTTGTGCTGTAGTCATTATAGTCTTGACAGTTAAGATCACCAGATACATTATTCTTTATAAGATTTTTGGCACAGATCAGAGCTATTCAACAGTTAGTAAGCTTTAATGGTTTTTAAGACAAATATTGTTACTTTTACCTGTGACACAGGAATAATGAATGTTTAGAAAAATAAAGCAATGAGACTGAATAGAGGTGGATGGGAAATGCCTCAAACACTGATATAAGTTGATTATCTGATAGGATAGACTTGGAAGACTTAAGAACAACTTAGCTCACTCCCTCATTTTATGGCTAAGGGAACTGAGCTAAACCAGTTTGTCCTGATTGATAAAACTACTAATAGTATCAATAATAGCTAATATTTTGAAGTACTTCTACACAGTTCTGTATGGTAGGTATTTAAATTATCTGTTTTACAGAAATGGGAATTGAAGCTTTGAAAAAATGGGAAACTCACCCAAGGTCCCATGACTAGTCAGTACTAGGACTTGATTGATCCCATATTTTCTGAACACAGCCAATAGTTGACCATGGTATTATAAGGTATGGTCTAAAAATACACGAATGTTTAAATTTAAAACAACATTATGGTAAAGGACATTGCCATTAATCCCCCTCAGAATTCTCCCCCCTCACTTTCAATGTACATTGTATTGTTCTTGCCACTTTCTGGAGCAGCTGTAAAAGTCCTTTTTGGTGTCTTTAGTTGTGCTGTCGCAGCTGCCTTGATGTCCTGAATTGATTGAAAATGCTTACCTTTCATGGTCATTTTGACTTCAGGATGAGCCATAAGTCAGATGGTGCCAGATCCATTGAATTAGGTGGATGGGACACACCATAATGTTCTTATGAGCCTGCTTTTCCATTGTGTGACACTGGTCAGCAGCACTCACTGCATTTTTGGTCATACATCATAAAGGTACTCAGAAAGAGGACTTCCAGGGCCGGGGTTTTACCTCAGTGGTTCCGCCGCCTGCTTTGCCAGCGCAAGGTCCCGTTATATCCCCAGTACTTAAAAAAAAAAAAAAAAAAAAGAGGACTTCCAGAACTGCTTCAGAAAGTGGTGAGAATAGGGTATTTATGAAATGTGTATGGGAAGTATTTTGAGGGGATTAATGGCAATGTGCCTTTTACACTAATAAGTTTATTTTTAAAAATTTAACCATTCACCATATATTTTGATCATCCCTTGTAGTTTCAAAAGCAGGATAAGATTAGAAACCTAGTTACTGGTTCTTAGAAGAGGAATCTGTTACACAGTTGCCTAATTAATATAAAAATGAAATAATAAGCTGCCTTAGAAGGAAATGTTGTCACTCCCTTAAAGGAAATTTCATCCTTTCTTGAATCACATCTGACATTAGAGAAAGGACACAAACATCAAATTATTTGAGACTCACAAGGCATCTTCTTACCAGAAGTTCTATTGCTATCTTTTTACTCAAATATTATTCAGTGCTTCAGAAAACCCCCTAAGATCCTTAGCTTTTCACTTCAGAAGCTTGTCTTTATTGCCATTTAGAGAAGAACATTTAAAAAGTTGCTATTTCATTCCTGATAGGTGGAATACAAAGGCAAAGAAGGGCAAAAAAAGAGAGAAAAGGCAGTATAGTATATTATAGAGGATCCAGTCTGAGTTCAACTTTGAAAAGCACTGTAGCTTTGGACAAGCCACTCACTGTCCTAAGTTATTTTGCATGTAAACTGGAAATGGTAATCAGTACTGTACTTAATGATTCTGAGAAAATGGAACAAAAAGCCTGGCATATACTGTAATAGGAATTTATGAAATGTTGCTGTGAAAAAAAGAAAAAGAAAGTAGAAAGTGAGTAAATTTTTTTTTTTTAGAAATAACTGTTTAATGATTTCGCTGAATCTTTATTCTTTTTTTCATATGTGACGTATATACATAATTCGCACATACACAAAATATGATTGTAATGTGTAACATAAGACATAACAAGAAAATACAAATTAAAAATGAACAAAATTCCAATAACTAAATTAATGCCTGAAGCTACAGATACTGAAGTCATCAGTCATAACCGTTAAAATAACTGTGGTCTTAATTTCAATGTTAATTTCAGTGTATAATTAAAAACATTAAAGATAAAGATTTTTGAAAGAACCCAATAAAATCCTACAGGTGAAAACTTGGAAATTAGCTACAATACAGTAGTAATTAACAGCAAATTAGTCATTAGTTACACATTATTTGGAATCTTAAAGATAGAGAACTAAGCAGGAGTGCTATTGTACAACACTGATTATACTAAAAACTCCTGAAGTTTTAACATTAAATAATTAACTTTATGACACGTAAATTTCATTTTAATAAAAAATATTTTTAAGGAAGGAGATGAAAGAGCAAAAAGAATATCAGTGGATCACTTTGGATATAATGCAACATATTTTTGTACATGACACAACATATCAAATCTGAGATTCAGGAAAATGTGATAAACCCAATTTAGGGTGAAAGTGAGTAAATTCTAGAATTGCATGTTAACCACTAAAAGTTGGCTGGCCTGCAAGTGACAGGGTTATAGGTTGTAGATTACCTGTGTTTACCTTAGTCCAACCAGCCTTTCCTTCTCCTGGTTTGTTTTTTGTGACATATTCCTTGACACCAAAGGGTAGAATTAATCACTTTAATTGAATCTTCTTGTTTCCATCGATTGTTGTTTAGACATCAGGTCTTAGTTAAGCTTGCAACATTTTTAAAGTAATCTATTTCCCCTCAGTTTTCTGTCTTTGGTGTGCTGTAGTTTTGCTACCATAAATCTAAATAATGGAATTCTTTTTTAACCTGTTTAGGATTTATTGGGCTTCATAAATCAGTGAATTGGTGTCTTCTGTTATTTCGAGAAAATTCTTCATTGTTATCCTTTCAGATATTACGTCTCTTTTGTTATTTTACTCTTCCCTCTGGGTCCTTAGTTAAATAAATATAAGATCCTTTTTTATCTTCCCAGGACTTAATTTCTCTCATACTTTGTTTTCTCTTCCTGTGCTACATTCTGAATAATTATACCTGATCAGTATTCTAACTTATCTATTCTAAAAACTATCTTTTGAATTTTTAAATGTCTTTTGGTGTAGGGGCGTTGAGAGAGGGTCTTGCTGTGTATTCTAGGCTGGCCTTGGAACTCACTATGTAGTTCTAGTTGGCCTGGAACTCTCTCTAATCCTTGTGCCTTAACCTTTCAAGTGCTAGGATTACAGGTGTGTGCCACCACACCCAGCGATCTTTCATTTCTAATAATTTTTTAAAATTCCCTGCTGATGTTTTTAAGCCCATCTTTAATTTTTTGTATGCGCCAAGTAAAAATACTTATTTTGTGCTTTGTGCTTAATAATAACCTAATATTGGGATGTTTTCGGCCTTTTTCCACTGTTTCTGATTTGTTTCTGTTGGTTGGTTTTCCTTTGTCATGACTTATTTTCTTGCATACTTTGCTATTTGTTGTTCTTAGAAACTTATAGGAATAATCTTGAGATATTGGGTGAAGCTCATTTTGAGGCTTCTAGGGTACCTCAAATCTTAAATCACTTTAAATTAGATATTGTATAAACTGAGGGTTATCTGGACCAGTGTGATAACAAGTGCCTATGAAATCTTGTTTGTCTCCTTAACCAGTGAGGGTCTTCATTTATAGTAGGAAATAGAAGGAGCTTTCACTTTGGCAGGCAGCTCCCTCCCTTCTTCTCTAAGGCTCTCACAGCCAGTGTTAACATTTTCCTTGAATGACAGGTGTCCTCAGGGAAAGGGACCGCTTGCTTTTCTGGCTTCCAACTTTTCTTCAGCTTTGGCCCTATAATTCTTTATTATATGATCAGATGATCAGCTCTTCAAATGTCATTGGGAAATTTTTTTCTTAATATTTGCAATAGCAGCTTGGGTTGTTTTCAGCAGAAGGGTCTGTATAACTTAGCTTACAATGAATGGTTTGTTGAATCTCATTTATTATCTTATCCTTGTTTATAAATTGAAACTCATGTTTCAATTCAAAGGTGCTTCCATTTGTGTGGAGGACTGTCTTAGGGGTTTAGAAAACATTTTTTACTTTTTGACATCAGTTCTTTTTAGAACCATTATGCAGTGATGCTTTCAAAAGCATCCTTTAATGACTACTGCTGTTACCTATTGTTGGGGTGGAATAAAGGTGCTTTTTGTGTAGAAATACAAGAGACCAGTTACACTGCTTTACAAATTAGCCTGATGTCAGTTTTTTCAGCAATAATATTCATCTGGAAAAGAGGCTATGTCAGTAAACCAAATTAATATAAAGCTTCAGATTTTCTGAATTGTATTCTAGGCTAAAGCCTTACTGTGGTGCCTTGTGCAGCATAACATTGTGGTTAAGAACCAGCTCTGGAGTCAGGCTGGGTTCAGTCCAGTCTGGTGCTCTCACATAGTAAGCACTGTGAGAACAGGGCTGAGTCATTCTTGCTTGTCACTGTTCAGTGTGTCTGGCACAGTGCCAGAGTGCTCATTAAATGCTTGAAAATGACAGGATGAAAATCATTTAGAGATTATATAGCATAAAGGTTTGAGAGAGTGGTTATAAAGTGAAGAAAGACCTTGGTTTGAATCCTAACTCCTCAGTTTACTAGCTGTGTGTCCTGCAGCAGATTACTTAAGCTTTCCATCTTTAATAACTTTCAGTATCATTGTCTGTAAGATGGGCTAGTGGTTGCTTCCACCTCCTGGGGCTGTGTTGAGTATTGCTAAGAAAATGCATGAGAGTTACCTAGTACAGAAACTACACGTGTTAGGCCTTCAGTAAGAATAAATTGTGGTTGGGCTGGGGATTTAGCTCAGTGGCCTGTGCCTGCCTTGCAAGCACAAGGTTCTGCGTTCAATCCCTGGTACAAAAAAAAAAACAAAAACAATAGATTGTGGTTATTCGGTAAGCCTCAGATCTCTTGCTATAAAATTAACAATGTGGTACTAGTTCAAGGGATAATTATTTTAAGTAAACTTAAGTATATATAGTACTCAGAATAGCATCTAGTAAAAACTCAGTAGGTGGTTGCTACTGCTGTATTAGTGGCAGTTTTACAATAAATTTATGAAGGTAGATGGTATATACTTGTTTTGTTCAGTGATGCTGGAGATCCATCCCAGGCCCTCACACGTGCTTGGCAAGCACTACCTCTAAAGCTATAACCCAAATCCAAGATGAATTGTTACATATATTACTGCTTTAAATTTACCTTCATCTAACTGATTTGATGTAAGGGTTTTGCTAATTTAACTGATTACTTCCAATATGGGCTTTTAAAAAACTAATTTTTTAATATGAACACATGAAACATTTTTATCAAGTTACGATTTGGTGTTTTTTAAGTCTTAACAAAATAACCATGAGGCACTAGCTTATTTGTCATCATATTGGGACAGAAGTAGCATTAAAACTATAGCTTCTAGATACCCATTACAAATGGAGGACTGAAGAGATAAAAAAAGGCCAAATTCTATTACAACAACCTCCATGGAATATGGAGATTTATTGTCCTACTGAAATTTTGTTGAGAAAGGTGGAAATTACACTTCTGGCCAGCAGCAGTTGTTAGTAAGAGTTGGCATCCCAAATTTTTCCATTGAAGTTATTGTGCAGAGAGTGGCGGCTGAGCAAATAAAAGATACCTCTGCAGCCCCTGCTTTTATGTGTAGTTGATGAATGAGTTCCACTGCTGCTGCTACATTTCCTGCCACTAACAGTCTCCTGTGTGTGCATGCCTACTGCCTGGTGGGCGCTTGCCAGAGCAATTTGCATTAAATACCTCTTTATTTCCACAATTGTGTGCGTGAAGTACTAATGCTTTTTTACTGGTGAGGAAATTGAGATTTCAAGAAGCCAAGGAATGTGGCCATAGTCAAGGAAAAGAAAATCAAAGTGAGTAACTCCAAACCAGACCTCTTAACCACCATAATATATTACCTCCCCGACAAAACATAGTGCTTACTTTTCTGATAAAGTTAATTATTTCATAACTTATTTCACAAAGTTAATTTTGCAAATTCATCTTTTACCATCCACTGGGGATTGAAAGAAAGATTTTCTGTTTACAAAGATCAAAGAGTTGAGCAAACATTGAATAAATATGAACTAGAAATATTCTTTGAAAGCCTTCTGATCACTAGTTTTTCTATTCATTTGCCTAGTCTAACCTTTTTAGTAAAGTAGGATGTAAGAACAATAATTGAAAAAGCAGGTAAGAACTTTTGCCTTTCATCTCTTCTCTCAGATGAACATTACAAGATTGGGGTAGAACCTGAAACAGCAAACATGAAGAAATGATAAATGTAGGCAAGGTAGAATGATTCCTCAGGTTTTCCTTTTCGAAGAATTTTGGGCTCTGAAGGATTCTTTGGATGTTTGGTTTTTCTAATCCTCTTTCCTTCTTTGCCTTGTTTAGGTTGGGGTTGTCTTGGGAAGATATATTTGATATTAGCAAACTGGCAAGGCTTATAAGAAAATAAATTCAATAAGCTACTTGAAATGTAGGCTTTGATCTTAGGGAAAAATAAGGGAAAAGAGAAAGAGGTAGCTAAACTTCCAAGTTTCCAAAGCAAAAAAAGTAAGTATTCAAAGGCAAGTTTTGTCATGCAGTGAAAGATAAAATGCTGTGTAGAATTCCGCCTGGTATATTTTTTTAAGAGACTGGATGTTGGTACTAAGGTAGAAGAGAATGAGAAAGCTCCTAATGTAGCCACAGAAAACTTATCATTAACTACAAAAAAAGGAAGGGATTAGGAGGCTTACCTTCATTAGCTAGTGGTTCAGTTGGCTGGGTGGTCATATTTTATCCTTACGGTATTTTATAATAAAGTATTTAAATGTGGGTCTATTTATGAATACTGCTTGTTACTATATTTGAATAAACTGAAAGCATGAGACTTAACAGCTAGACATTGAATGAACATATAATTCCACGTCTCTTCTGATTTTAAAAAGTATAAATGATTTTATAAGTGATCATCATGGGTTTTTGCAGTCAGATAAGGAAATGTATAGATTTTTCTATTTTAAGAATTATGTCATGTTTTACATTCTAGCTTTTAAATCTTCAAGACAGCAGCCCTCCCGCAACGTTGCTACTAAGAATTATTCAGAGGTAAGAAAAAGTTTTATAGGTTCTGTATTAATAAACTTGTGTTTCCTGCATCATGAGTTGTCAATTCCTTGACTTACAAAGTAAAAGAGGAAAAAATATGGGACATTAAAGCTGATTTCAGTTATCTACAATGAGGAAGACTAGGGGTTATTTTTCTTATTTCTATTTTTTTATACTAATGGTCTACAGTCTTAGAAACCTGTTAAGTATTTACATACAGTAATATTTTTAAGGATAACAAGGCCGAACCCAAATGGCATGGAATACTACTCTTGAAGGCAGGTTCTTTACGTATAGAGTCTATATCAGTGTAGACTCAAGGCAGAATAAACGGTCATAGGATCTTTGAATTCTGCTGTAGACTTAGCATGGGCCTTTGGTTCTTTAGATTCCAGAAAGAGTCCTGTAGGGACTTGATTCTCCTGTTACCTCACTTTCAAATTCTGTGTGTCTTAACTCCAAGCAAATACTCCTCCCATAACAGTTTCTCAGTGGCAACCCCATTAGCATTCTAGATCAGATGATTCTTTTTTGTGGGCTGGGGTTGTTTTTGTTTTCTTTTCTTTTGTTTTGGTACCAGGGATTGAACATTTGCAAGGCAGGTGCCAGAGGCACTGAGCTAAATCCCCCGTCCCTGATGATTCTTTTTTGTGAAGGAATGTCTGATGCATTGCAGGATGTTTAGCTGCTTGCTTGGCCTTAGGTTCTATCCTAGGCTTCATCCTCATTTGCACATCAGATAAAGACAGCACATGCATGTGCCAGGTGTCAAAATAACATAAAAAAAAATGTAGAGGAATGTTTAGTATTTGGATGATGGAATGAAAATCAGAAATATTGCTGTTGGATCTTAACACTAACAAGTGGTATTTAAGAGGGATAAATGCAATTGTAAGATATCTAGTACTTCCCACATGGTCTGATACCTCATGCGTTTAGAACACTGAGGAGTTAATTCCTCATCAGAGCCCAAGAAGAAAATCACAGGACACAGCTATACTCCAGCCTATGCGAGTCACTCACCAATCTAAGTGTTCTTTAGGTCCCAGGCTCCGGAGATGGCCAGGAGAGAAGATCCCAGTATAGAACACTACTTGTGAATGAAGAGGCACACTGGAGGGGTCAGATGGGCTTTTGTGTTAATAATTGCTGCTTACTTGTTTCCTGGCTCTTTCGTGACTTTTTTGTATATGGGAAAAAAAGCTACATTGTAATTCAGTTATTTAATTCATTTTTTATTCAGGTGTTCCATTCTCAGGAAAACTATTTGTTTTATTTCCCTCCCTCCCCTTAGGTGATTGAGGTAGATGAATCAGATGAGGAAGAAGACATTTTTCCTACCACTTCAAAGACAGATCAAAGGTAGGTCAGAGACTTCCTTAAAAAAAAGATGAAAATTACCCTGAATTTCATAATGATATGTTTTTCCATGCCTTTTGAATTATTTTCAAATATTAAAGTTTGTAGAGAAATGAAAAAACAGATGAAAGCCTAGTTCATAGACCTGATACACCCTTATCACAAGCATTTTTATTGAAAATTTAAATAACTTAAAATCTATATGCCTGAAATCCCAGCTGAAATCCTGCCTCTGAGGCAGGATAACCACAAGTTCAAAGCCAGCCCGAGCCACTTAGTATACCTTTCTCAACATTTAAAAAGGTGTTGGGGCTGCACTTCAGTGGTGGAGTGCCTAACATGGGTGAGGCCCTGGGTTTAAGCCCCAGCACTGGGGAGAGAATTTTAAATAACTTGATTTTTTAGTTCTTTTTGTATTTATTACACAGTGATTTTTTTTTTTTTTTTTTTTTTTTTGGTACCGGGGATCAAACTCGGGTCCTTGCGCTTGCACAACAGGTGGCGAAGCCACTGAGCTAAATCCCCGGCCCTACACAGTGATTTTCTTGACCAAAGACTTACAGTTTCCTCAATAAATAGAAAATAATTTTCTGTTTTGTTACTATTGATTTCAACTTTTTTCATTATCATATTTTATATACTTAATTATACATAGTACTGTGCTAAACACTAAAAGGAAGGTCATATAGACTTATTCTGCCTTCAGAATACTTTCATGTTCTTACCCCTTTTGTTTCTTGCCTGATGCTCTTAAGCTTGACTTGACTCAATATTGCTATTTTCTTTTAGGTATTAACATTTTGAGTGAAAACTGCTTATCTAATGAAATTAGATCAATTAATGAAAATACTTAAAATAATCAATAGCCCTTTTTACTACTTCATATGGAAGTACTAAATTAGATTTGATGGAAGACATAATGAATGTTTTAATATGGTCACTACCTTTGGGCAGCTTAGATTGTAATGAAAAGTGTTGAACCCATTGGAATCCATTAAAAGATGATTGAATTAGTACATAATTATGTGTGAAATCCTGTGATGTAGACCCTTAATTATGAGTGGTTTTAGTTCCTTAGAATGTGGATTATGATAGAAGAAAGAGCTCTGGAGAGTGATGGGTCTTTCCTAAGATCATTTTATCCTGTTATAAAAGGACAGATTTGAATTAAAAAGATTTCAATGTTGCCATAATTTTCATAAGTGGGGGATGGCAATAGAGAAATTTTAATATGTAATGAAAACAAGTAAAAATCTGTGTGGTACTTAATATATTAGGCACTGTTTTAAGTGTTTAAGCATATTAATATACTGAATCTGCTAAAAAAATTATTATCCCCATTTTACAGATGAAATTGAGGCACTGAGAAGTCAAGTAACTTGTTTAAAGCCACACAGCTAGTAAATGGAAAAGCTGCAATCCAAACCCTAGCTCCAGAAGTCTTTCTCTTACCATTAAATTTTTATTGCCTCTAAAGTAGATGGAAGGGAATTGTCTAGAACTGCATTTTGGATAGATGCCCTAGTTCATTGTGTTTGGCTTTTCCTTTTCACTTCCCCTCAGGTGGTCAAGCATATCAGCTAGCAAACCCACGTCCCAGAGCCAAATAGCTAAGGGGATTGATTTTGAATCAGAAGAGGTAATAAAATAATATTGTTAAATTTTAAACTTTTTAAATTGTAAGTTAGAGGCTGCTAGCTAGTTGCTAAAAGTTATTTTTTAAAAATAGTTAAACTTCCTTTCAACTGTAATGTTAAAAATCAAAAAATAACACTGTGTTGAGTGCCCAGCAATGCAATTATGCAGCTTGTTAAAATACAATGTTCACTCAGCTCTTAGGTAATTTGCCCAGTTAACAGGATGGGAGTAGTTTTTTTTAGCTTCTGCCATTTATATTTGAAGAGATGATGGTGATGATAATGTAAGAGCTTTAATGTTACTTTAATAGAATGCTTATTAAGGACCAAATCTATGTCCCACGTGTTTCATATATAAGATGGTACATGGTGGTGATTTTCATGTCACAAATGTACTTGGACATTGACCAAAATGCTGTCTAGTAAGATGTGTGGGAAAAGTTAATTCATAAACTAAAATGTCCTCTAATTTAAATGAGGAATAGGAAGAAATATAAGAAGGACTTGCTTTGTCTTTGTTATCTGTTTCAATTAAATTGAATTAAAGCTACAGGACTGAAGAGTCCCGGCCTTTCCCTTTCCTCCATGATTGCCATTTGAAGGACTTTTGCAAGTTTTTGTTAAGTTGCTTGAAGGTATTTCTCTTAGGCCCATCACTCTTTCATTTATTTATGTTCCATTAAAATTTTTTTTTAATTGTACTAACAACACATAAAACTTACCATCCTAGCCATTTTTTTAAAATCCATCTTAACCATTAAGTATACAGTTCAAGAGGGTTATATATATGCACATTGTTGTAAAATAGATTCTTGAACTTTTTCATCTTGTAGAACTGAAACTATATACCCCCTTAACCATTAAATGCCTACCGTTCCCTATTTGGAACGCCCATAACAATGGAACACAGTAAAATTTTTTCCTTCAAATTCTTGTTCCTTGAATTTTTCTAGGTAGCATACATGAATTTTATGCAGAAATTTTAAAAATTGCCGTCTTTGGCATAATTGTGTTAACCAAGTTCTCTATTCTCTCTTTTCCTAGCCCCTGGTATCTAATATTCTACTTTCTCTTTCTATAAATATCTATTTCAGGTACCTCATATAAGTGGAATCACAATCTTTATCTTTTTTTTTTTTTTTTTTGTACTGGGGATCGAACTCAGGACCTTGTGCTTGCGAGGCAGGTGGTGGAACCACTGAGCTACATCCCAGGCCCTATAATCTTTATCTTTTTGTGACTGGCCTATTCCACTCTGCAGTGTGTCTTCAAGGTTCATTCACATCCTAGCATGTGACTTGTGCCTTCTTTATCAGCTCTGATTTTCTTCAATTTTTATTTTTTATTATAATATGTTTGCAGTACATAATGATTATATTCCTTGTGGGGAGTTGGAATGTTTATATAACATATCCTAATTCTTTTCTCATTCCCTTCCCCTTGCCTTCCTCCATCTCTTGGTCCTGTTCCCATTTGCAAGAGATCTGTCTCTATATTTCTTATTATCTGTCTTTTATGTAATTTTAAAACAGCTTGAGAAGCTTCAAGGCTTGAGAGGCCACAAGTCAGGCTTCAAAGAAAAATGACAGCAAGAGCTCAGAGTAACTATGAAATGTTGACATGTTGCTTCCAGGAAGAAGTGAGCAAGGAATCTGGATATACATGTGGTTAAAAGTTTGACTGCAAAGAAGAACTATTAGCAGATTCTCTGTTATACTTCATTTTGGATTTATCTGTAATAAGTTGCTGCCTTAATCATGAAAGTCAATTTGTAGTTCTCAAGGCATCCATTTCTTATGAGATTGTTACTTTAGTTAACATTTGAATTTGTTAATACCACCAGTAAGGCCTGACATCAAGAAAATAATTTCTTTTATTATCTTAATGGAAACATAAATCTGAAATTTATAAATTTGTTGTTTGTTTGGTACCGGGGATCCAACCCAGGACCTTGCCCTTGCAAGGCAGGTGGCAGAACCACTGAGCTAAATCCCTGGCCCTATAAATTTGTTTTTATCGTCTGAATATTTAGTTGCAGAATATAATCAATTTATGTAACTTGGGCTTATTTGAGGTTTGTTAGTTGTTTTCATTCCCTTTAATTAACTTCTTAGTTATTATTTCATATTCCTCTTTATTCTAACCATACATATAATGTACAGCCCATCAACATGGGAACTCTTGAAATAATACTTTATGCTTCTTTTTCCAAAAAACTGTTTGAAAGATTGCTTCACTAGGTGATTTTTTGCATCAGTTTGAGAATAGCTGTCTACTTCTGGCATTAAATGCATAATGGGAACTAAGAATTACAACTGTTTTTGAGTTAGCTCTGCACTAGGTGGCTTCATTATTTTTTGGCTGAATTTCCAGAACAGCAGGCACCTGTAATAAATTGTAAGTGAAAAAAAACTGCTGGTGTTCACAAACCAAAAGACATGGTTTGAGTATTTTTTTTCCTGGCTTAACTATATCTCATTTGTATTGGTTAAGGTTAATATCTGAGGAAGTGTATATTCTACAATTGTAGATATATATACACACACACACACTCATACATCACAGGATAAATTTTTACTTTTAATGCTCACTAAGAATTTAATTGGACTTATATATTTCACATGTATAAGGGAAACAGAAAAATGAAATTACCCCAGGAGAAAAGAGAAAGTGACTCCCGCTGATATTACTTTGCCATAAGTGTCTGTCTTGACTCACGGAAGGGTGGAGCAGTTTCTGACTTCACATTTCTATGTCCTTTCAGGAAGATGATGATGATCCTTTTATGAGCATTAATTCTTTAAGAAGAAACAGAAGATAATATATTTAATGAAACTTCCAGATTTCCAAGATACAGGAAAAACTGAAACATTGCAAGCTAAGAGTTTACCATTGAGGATTTTTAAATTATTGCTCTTAACTGAAGAATTTGAAGAAGACTTACTTAACAGAATCTGATGTATAAGTGTTATTTCCTGGACATGACTCACATGACTCTATTAAGATAATTTACCTATTTTAGAGATATAAATATAGTATAGGTTCTCCTTTTTTAATCTGGTTATTATTATCTGAGGATGTTCTATATGATTTAAAATGTTTTTTGACACGTTAGTATATATCTTACTCAGTAAAAACTTTGGTGATTGTTCTTAACTAGGAAGTAAAAGAAATCCACTATAATCCATTTCTGCTTCATGATCAAAGACTATGTTAGCATCTCAGTATTACATTTAGCCAAATTGAAGGGAAGAGCTTATGAAATTTAACCTTCTGGTCATGGTGGTACATGATTTTAATTCCAGCACACAGGGGGCTGAGGCAGGAGAATGATGTGAGTTCGAAACCAGCCTGAGCTACATAGCAAGACTGTCTCCAAAAGAAAAAAAAATTAACCTTTACACAGTTTTGATAATTTCCTAGAGGTTCTGGATATCCTGAAAGTAAAAAGTAAGATTTCCTTTGTGAAACTGCTGAAGCTCACTGCCCAGAGCACCCCACCTTGGGCTGAGCAGTGGGGAGTGTCAGCTCGTGGCTGTTGCTTATGTGTTCCTGGGTGAGGCTGAGAGTCAGTGCATGGCCACTAAAGTACCCTCACTGCTTCCTGGGAAAAAGGAGTGAGGCTTTTTCTCTTTAAAAAATTGCTCTAGAGTATGCGAAGATCTATTTAAAATGATGCAGTGAGCTGCTGAGGAAAATGATTCCATGCAGTTACAGAGGAGGAACTCTTCAACTAATTCATTCATTGAATAGTTGCGTGCATCGTGTCCTAGAAATATGGCGAATAAAATGGGAAAGAAAAGCCTTCTTGATTAAATGTTGTTGCACAGTTAAATGTAACACATTCCCTTGATTCTCTGTATTGAGGCATCAGAATCCATTGTTTGTTTTTATGTGATAATTTTCAGAGCTCTTGATATAGGTGTGTAGAAGTCTTTCAGATGATTCCAGAGCACTTACAGTTGCTTTGGAAGGCTGTGAGAGAGAAGTGATGAAAATAGTCTGAGGAAAACATTTGTAGGGAGTCCTTCCATGCTTACCAAAGAATAATTCTCTTCCTGGCCTCTTTGTTCCCTATCTTGCAAATACCAGGTTAATGCACTGCACTTCTAGGAAATTCTAGGAAAGAGACCGCTTAGAAAAGCCAGGCAACTAAGCAGATGACCTTTAATTCAGGGACGTGTAAAACATTTTTTCATAAGATTTTATACTTACTACCTACAGTAAATACAGAAAAGTCATACAATTTAACAAGTAATTGGAAAGTGAGTGTTCATGGAAGCGCTAGAATCTAGAATATCACTGCTGTCCTGGAGCCTGTGAACTGTTTGCTCCTCTGGCTGAGCATCCACACTTCCGTCCCTCAGGGTGCTTACTCTGCCACAAGGTGTTGCTCCCACCTCTAAGTGCAGTTACAGTAATTCAACTGCAATTTTCAAATGAAGAAGTTAGCATATATAGTTTTGCAGCAAATTTAGAATCTATGCAGTAATACTAAATCTATGCAGCAGTACTATGTTTAGCCTTCTCAAGTTATATGTAAATTGCCTTACATGTTTTACTGGTTGAGCTTGTCACTATAGAAATTGCCAGCTTGGTAAAATTTACATATAAAAGTTCAAGGAGAAAAATGTTTTATGTTTTCATAAAGAGAAATTCTTTATTCGAAAAGTTGAATTTAAAAAGGCTCCCACTGTATACTTTTTCTTCAAAATGTAAAATATTTTAATGCAACTTTCTCCTAAAGTCATTTGATGTCCTTTTTGTATCTGTCATACATTTAATTTATAATATTTTGTGGCATTTTAAGATTAATTTCCAGTAAAATTATCAATGTTTTGCATAATAAAAATTTAGTTTTGAATTCAGAGAGCTTCTGTCCTTGAATGAAAATGTCCACATTTCATCATTTGCTTACCTTATTTCCTTTTAAAAATTTTGAACTTACTAGAATTTTAGTTTGATCTTAGTTCACATAGGTTGTTATTACCATGCACATTTGTATATCCTATGACAGATCATTAGATCTGATTTTAGCTCTTTTTAAATTATAAGAGTAATATGTATTTGGTTTTTCAAAATTGAGACTTTGAAGTCCATATCAAAATGTCTGTTTCCCTATAATTTTTCTCCCCACATACAACTTGTGAACAATAAGGTACATGTTTCTCCAATTACTTCTGGCATGACTAGTAAAAAATATTATTGGAGGGCCAGGGATTTAGCTCAGTGGTGCTGCCACCTGCCTCACAAGCCCAAGATCCTGAGTTTGATCCCCGGTACCAAAAAAACCAAAATTTTGGATTACAACTTTATATTGTACAGCTAAATATTCTAGTCTTCATACCAAGGTAAATACCATCATACTTGGTATCCACATTTTTCCATATCCTTATTAACCCTTTAAACCATCAGCAATGTGCGACTTAAATGTTATTGTTTATTTTAGATCAAATAAAATATATTCAATCTGGGATGCTTTTATGTCAGAAGTGGTAAAGTGAATTTTCAAGAGCTCTTGGCTGGTAATTGCATATTGTAGTTAACTAACCAAAAGAGCTGCATTGGGTCCTCGGCTGGTTGGCTGATGCTTGATCTTTTTCTGTCTTAGCTGCTATGCAGTCCTGATGATTCTTGTGCAGATGACCAGAATTAGTGTGAAAGTACTTGTGGTCACCATGCTGGTTTAATTTCAAGTTTGTTACTTTATATTTTAATAAAAAATATTTTT